ACATGGTTTGCTAGTCTGGCGCTCAACCGATCGAGCTAAACAGAAGTCTAGCGATATATTGTGGCTAATATTTACCATGGTTACATATATGTATGTAGATACAAAGGTTTTACCTGTATTAGGCGAACGTGTTCCTACTTAGTTACACTTTACTAAATTACAATTTCAGTGGCGCAGGTAGCCCAGCAGTAATGTGTAAGCCCACTCGAGGGGTCTGGGGGCCGCTTAGGCCCAGCGGGTCCAGGGCTGGGCTCTGGTGAGGGGGTTCTGAGGGGTGGACGAAGCCCCACGACGGGAAATGAATTTCATGATTTCATAGATGTTTTGAATCTGAGGCAGTTTTTTTTAAATTATTTAACAACAAACTTCAACCCCTGACTAAATAAAAGAAGATACGCCCCTGAATTTACCTGTTCTTTTACTTAGAGGATTAGAACAAGAAGTATGTAATTACAATATATAACCCCTTATTGAATTTTATCCTATGTAAGTAGGACTGGTTTATAACTAATATAAACTTTATTTATTTTACAACAAACAAGTTATGTCAACTTATACTAATCACTCTTGTTTTATTGTGGGAGGAAACCGGAGTACCCGGGGAAAAACCACGTGGTCGGGCAGGTGACCCCTTACCTTTTCACGTCCGTTCCGGGAATCGAACCCCGGTCGGCTAGGTGAAAGGCGAGTGCGTTACCACTGCGCCACCCGATCACCGTTATATGGTTATAGTTGTGCGTTGATAGTTTACAAACACAGAATCAGTACTCGGACAGTAATATTATTGTTGAAACCAGCATTTCTTATTTATTCAAGATTACTTCAATTATATATCTATGTCAATGACTAGTTAGGAGATGGATTTACATAATTTATAAGCCTGTTACCAAATCCTCTTGATACTATTTGAATTGTTTTGATGCTATTGAATGTTGAATTATGAAAATTGTTTAAACGAAATCCATGTTCTTTATAAAAAATCGTATGTCAATAATTCATTCTAATTGCTCTGTGTGATTGAAACTATGCCATGTCTGGACTGATTCTGTTATCGGTATGTTTGTAAGCTTTTCTTTTATTTTCTGTTTTTGAGTCTGCGTCAATTTTTCCTTTTTTATTATAATTTTTTTTTTTTTTTTAATTTTTTCAAGTTTTGATTTCAATGTTTATTTCATTGGAATGTTAGTATAATTTTTGTCGTATATATATATACATATATGCAATGAACACATTGCGATACTTTGCTTTTTCATACCAGAATGTTTTTTTATCCTTGGACTTCGTAAGACGCACAATCCTGTGTTATAGTGTTATATCACTTTAAATACAAAACTGATACTTTTAATCGAGAACTACGAAATTATTATGAAAAAACGATTGGGAATACCACCATGTCGACCATATCTCCTCTCCCTTCCAGTTTTGAGCGAGGCATCCTCTGCTGGGTCGGAACTCGTTTCAGCTGTTGTAACGTCTTCGCTTACTGGCGGGGTGACCGTTCCCACAGTGACAAATGTTAATGAGATCTGTAACATTATAACTAATGATATTTTTTCTTTTGTTTTTCTTCGCACCAGTAAACAATGTTATTTGTTTTTCAAGTGGAGTCCAACTTGTATAAAACAGTTTCCCCATAAAGTTTGACAAAATGCTTATTGACAAGACAAGACGACATTTTTCAAGTTAAAAAAAAAAGACATACGGGTAGACAGAAAACAGCCTGAGACAGACAGAAGACAGACAGACAGAGACAGACGTATCTATTTCTGAGTTATTTCATATATTTTCACATTATCATCATTTGAGTATTTATCACTACCAAGTAGAATTAACTGCAGATCTAATGGAACAACATCGTTTTATTTTTGGTATAAAGTTACTCTCTAACTCACATAATGATTACTGGCAAAGGAGTAATGCTAAGTGTCTTCAACAGAATGTCCAGATATGCAAACAACAAAATAAAGTGCCTAGCACAACACGAAAGCAGACATTCCGCTTTTATGCAAACGCAAACCGGATCAAACACACGCTTTGGGTGACTTTAGTAGGATTGGTACAATGATAGCGGGAAGGGGAGGGGGTTGGGGTGGTTACTAGGTAAACGAAACTTACGGTCAAAATGATGATCAAAGTCGGTGTACCCATGGCTACTCCTGTATTACATCTGTGATAAAATTGTTCACAGAATGTCAGATATCATTTTAATGCCTTTATCTACTTCTGTTGTGATAACATGTCCTATATCCGTGTTTAACATACCTCGATTTAACGATATGTTAGTGACTGTCCACTAGTACGGTTCAATGACGTGTTTTGCAATATCTACAGTTTTTATTTATAAACTTTTAAAAAAAATATTCAATTCCAAAACAAGATAACCTTGACTATTCTTTTTTTTAATACACGCGTATTTATGTAACGTGAATGCATGTTTAAATTGATAATATATATGTGTTACAGGGTCAGATCTTCATGTATATATATCACACGAACGCCTGTGTAAGTTCATGTGGACCATTCGGTCCGTTTATTCCATTAGACAGTTGCACTTACAAGATGAACTCTGCAATGACAATACACAAATAACATTAATCATATAATAAATATCACACACACAAAACATACATATATCACTTTCACAAATAGATCATTTAACTGTATACTAGCAACACTAGTACAGCATTGAGTAATATTATAAACGGAAACTAATAAATACGAATGAGTAATTAGGAAGACAAAACAATTTACAATATATACGAAAAGTCGATCCTTCTACATATGTCTAACAAGAATAATAAATGACCATGAAATATCACAGAATAGGAGCTCCTCCTGGAAATTTCGTTGATTTTTTTTCTTGAGTGTAAGAAGAACACGGGTTAGCTGGGTAGGATTTTTAAATGTTGCCAGAAAACAGTTAATAAACATAGCGTGAAGGTGTTTTAAAAGCTACACAAAGTGAAAAAAGGGGGCGTGACATTACGAAAAATTGGTCTTTAAAGCTGTCTACACTATTTTTAAAATCATTCAGCTTAATATATTTTGACTTGCTTTCATACAAACAACATTGGGAACTCTTTTTTTCAGAAATGAGGCCTTCGACCTATCGCCCCTTTTATATCTATATGACTTATTTTGCAACAAAATACTTTATCTATATAAATAGTCAATGTGCGTTCTTATTGTGAAATTTATAAGCAAACATCTCATCGAACGTATTAGATTTCGGAACCGCAAGATCACCTCACGATCCGTAGTACCCGGATGTAGGTGTTTATATCTGTAAAGTTTGTGTTCTCCTATCTCCCACATTTTTGAGGGGAAAAAAAACATGAGTGCAGTAATGTTGTGACAGTAGATGTAACACAATGACTAAACACAGTGTTTACTTGGGTTGACCGAAACGTTTATTTCATCGTATAGTGGTTTTTCACAGTTAGTACTTCGTAACACTCCAGGTGCTTAACAATACAACCAGGTAGTACGAGTTCTCCAGTCTTCCCATGCAGTTAAAACGAAAGAGTTCGAAAAGTTGAAATAAAGTCTACAGTTAACAAGTTTTAGGTTCCGTTGGCCGAATATGAGAAATGAGGAGAGAGAGTAGCACTGGTGATGTTCTCTGGCCAGTCGTTCTCCCCAAGTCTGTTAGCAACAGTGCAAGCCCCTATTTTATAGACAACGATCACGTTGCCAAGCATGTGAAATGGTCAAGTGTTCCTTATACTCCGTGCTGATCTCACAATTTGAAGTTTCATACGTATTCAATGACGTAGGTCCAGTTCTATAAACTGACCATAAATGCTTGAGTTATGTATTTAACGTGAGACCTTAAGTACTTATCTAATTCCTTGACCGATAAACGGTTTGATAGTATCATCAATTATATAAGATATTATCTCTAAGACTATGTACTTATCTAATTCCTTGACCGATAAACGGTTTGATAGCTCTGCACTAAATATCATCAATTATATAAAATATTATTAATTAACTCTGATTGGTTATTAACTGCATAATTATTAATCGGATCTTATTTTGTTACATAGATGCTGTTTGTACCTGTTTGACATGTGTTATTCTCACACCTGTTTACCTGCATTCTCCCCAGTAACCCGCATCATACTCTCAAATAACGTATATTCATATGCACTTTTACAAAATTTATATTAAAAAAAAAATAAGAACCAGCCTTATGTCATATCAAACGTTACAAAACATCTCCAAGAACAGTCAGGCCGATTTTATTGCAAGAACTTGTAGTGATCATAGGTTTTAAAATAACGTGTTTTCCTCATTCGTGAAATGACATAAATGACTTGCATAAAATCAAAACCTCAATCAATCATATCAGAGACGTGTATAACACCTCGTGTTATATACGTCTCTGATCATATATCAGATGCGATCTTCCCTCAATAACTACAACACTGATATGGTTGATGATGTCAGTGTGTTAGATATGAATCTGTCCCAACTAGGGATTGAACCATACACCTGAACTTGGATGATAACCTATGTTCGAATTACTTTGATGAAACATTTCGACCTCTGAGCTTGTACAAGCAGGTAGCAAATCTACAGTATCTAAAGCGCCAGATACAAATGTCACTGTATTTACGAGATATAATTCTAGCACCAGGATGACTTAAATACACTATAAATTTTTGTTTTGTATTATTATTATTATTATTATTATTATTATTATTATTATTGTGCTTGTGTGGGTCTTTTTGTGTGTGTGTTTTTTTTTTTTTTTTTTTTTGCGAATTATTAAAACGCCTTTTTTATTAAAGTTTTGTTAACATCAACATTTTTGAAGATATATTGTAAGTTCGTGCTTTTGTATGTTTCTGGAATCTTAAATCGGGTCTGTATTTCGGTAATTTTTACAATAAAAAAACTGAATGTTGTATATGATATTTGTCACTCTAAGTAGGACATTTGACCGGGGTATTTTTAACCGGGGCAGTTTTTCCTGTGTGACCGTGTACATAATAATGGCTAGTGACGCAACGCTAAGAGAAGGTGAGTCTTCAAAATGTGTGCCGATGTTTGTTTAAAACTTAGGTTCATTGTGACTGTCATCAATCTTATTTTCTATACATGTAACAACGAATTACATCGAAGCTGAAGCCTTTTAAATTATGTGGAAATTCTATTTGTCTGGGCGTTTTATCATGTTGGACTTTGGCATGCTGACATTTATTTTCACGCAAATTGTTTCATGCACTAGATATCATGGTGAACGGCATTTTATCTCAGTCGGGACGTGCACAATCATTTTTAGTCATTCCTGAATCATCATGATAGTATGCATGTATACGCAATTTTTTATGCTAATGCATTATTTCATTTAGTGCCAAATTATGTGATAGTGCGTGAGTTCGCTTTCATTATCGGTATGGATGAAGGGAGGTAATCCGTACAAATTCTAGATCAGAAAGTCATTGTTGTGTAATTAGTGAGGACGTTCACAATTTAAATCTCCTTTTCGCTAACTAGTTAACGAAGAAAAAATAATGCAATAAATACATTTATAAATGAATACAAAAAAAAAAAAAATAAATGAAAAAATTGATTGATAGATAGATAAACAGAGGAAGGGAGAGATATTTTTTTTAAATGATTCATAACTGGAATAATTTGACTAGGTGTCCAGAACCCTCGATATAAATCAGATTGTGAAAGAATGTGTGTTATCTGATATTAGTGGTTGAATTCAGCAGCATTTGTGAGCTGACAATGATTAAGTTTGGTACATTTTGTCCCACCATTTTGTTGTGGCAAATTTTGACAGATATTCAATGTTCTTTTGTTAAGCTCTTTCGTTTTGATTTTAGGAGTGCGACAGCACCTTGCAACCTGGATTAAGAAACTGGACTGTGGCGGGGACATAGAAAAACAACATTTCTTTAAAACCAAATTTCTTCAGTCATTAAAAACATCACCAGTTGCTATAGAAACGGACAAAGCTAACGAACAACATTATGAAGTACCAACAGAGTTTTTCAAAACGGTATATTATAAAAACAAAATAGCACAATTTTTTCATTCGTGCGATGTTCTGTTTAGCACATCGAAATAGTGATGGATTTGGATATGACCAAATTAGAACAATATCCATTATTTTCATTTAATTCAAAATACAAATTTAATATAAAGTTGTATTTTTTCACAGGTTCTAGGCTCCCGGCTTAAGTATAGTGCATGTGCTTGGGACGCTGGAACGAACAATCTGGACGATGGTATGTAGGCCTATGGTTTTAGGTTTGTGGGTGGAGGGGATATGGTGGTAATTTGACTATACATGTATATCAATTTTGTACAAACACTAAGATTATAAAGAGGTATGGCAGGTAACGATGCAGTAACACCTGTTTAAGTTAATCTCATTCACATGTTATTTTTGATGACAGGAAGATGTGATATCAGGGTCTTGAAACTAGTATGTACCTTAATGACAGAGTGGTGACTTTAATGTGCTTGCCAGATTGTACACAAGCCTAAGGTCCTTCTTAGGTCAACAGTAGTATACTTCTTTGTTCTCAGTCAGGTTGACCATTATTCTGAATTTCAACTCTAAGGCAGCCATTAGAAATCTATGAGAAAATACTTATGAAAAGTGCCAACAGTTCCCCAACCGCTAAACACCATGATACAATGATACATGCATATATCTATTGAAGACTATACTTTTTCTTTCCAGCTGAGAATAATTCACTTAAGATCTACTGCGAGAGAGCACATCTGGAGAATGGGCATAGCGTTATGGTATGGATATAGATACTATAATGTATCTTCTCTCAGCTTGTCTATATACATCTTAATTATGACTCTTTACTGAATGGTCATTTCCAATTTCCTGCTTAGTTTAATCTTGCCTGATTTCAAGATTTTACTTTCTATTTATACTCACCTTTCCCTCCCTTAATGATCAACATGTGAGTTTATCGTTTATTCAGGCCTGCTTCCTGAACATGATTGTTTATTGATTATTAAGTCCTGCTGCCTGAACACCTTTATTCATAAAACATGCAGATTAATTTTTATTTTTCACCCATTAATTTAATCTCAATGTGAAACTTAAGATAGTCATTTTTGTAGAACGTCCCTGTTTTTAATTTTTTTCTTTGTCCATTTTCATCTCTTTGTCATATATTTTACAGGGTTAGAAATATCAATACAGAAATATTTGGTATAAAATTTACCTGTTTTAGGGAAATAAAGTATTTGTATTCTGCTTGTATTCCTCAATTCTTGCCCTGCCATCAACATTTTAACACGGAAATATAGGCAAAAATTGAACATATTTCAATACATTGGTAAGGGTATTTCAAATGATTACCTGTTTTCAGGATCTTGGCTGCGGATGGGGTTCCCTTGGGCTTTACATTCTGGAAACCTATCCAAAGTGTCACGTGACTTGTGTCTCGAACTCCAACACACAACGTCTCCATATTGAAACTGAAGCTGAGAAAAGAGGTGTGTCTGATCGACTTGAGTGCATCACAGCGGATGCTCGATCATTCACAACAGGAAACCGATATGATCGTATAATGTCCATCGAAATGTTTGAAGTAAGTCTGAGTTTTTGTGTCACAGTGTTTCTCCTTTTCTGTTGATTAATACAACACTTTACTACATATTAGTGTTGGGAATCGGTTGAAATTTCCTGATCGATCATCAGCTTTGTGTAACCAATCGATGATTGATTAAAATTGATTAATTCTTAATTGTCTGTTTTGGATATTATTCAAGTCTAAATATGTATTTTGTGTAATGTTTTAACAGCAATTCAGGTAATTACTAAAACTGTTGTAAATATACCATCTTTCTGTGTGCTTGTTATTTGCTTATTGCTCAGAATACTTTTTAATAAAAACAAATGCTGTTTTATTTTTTTAATAATTTTACTAATGTTGAAAATAATTTCAATATTTGAATACTTTATTTTCATACATCATGATGATCGATTGCAGATTTTTTACTTGATTAATTGATCAAACATCTCAAACAAGTGATACTCGATGAACTCGATTAGTCAGAACAACGCTACTTCATATACATTCGAATCTAATTTCAGAAACAAACACATCAGTTTGTAAGTTTAAGAACTTGATTATAAAAACGATACAAACAGAAGATAATTTTTTTTTAGGTCACCTGGTCTCCTGGTGAGCTATTCTAATACCCTTCATCTGGTGTCCTGTGTCCATAAACAATTTAACACTTTCAACTTCTTCTCAAAAACCCCTCGTCCAATTTCAATAAAATTTTGCAGAAAGCTTCCCTGGTCTTAGATAAACCACAATTGTGAATATTACAGTCCCCTCCCTCCCAGGGGCCCGAGAGGTGGGACCTAAAGTGGTCAAATTAAATCAGATTTCAAAAGTCTATTCAACACCCAGATAGAATCAAATGTTCTTCATGAATTAAAGCATCTTAAGGTGTTTTACCAAAATTGTGAATTTCATGGCCTCAGCGTATCACATTTCCCCAAAAGGAGTGGGTAAATTTTACTATAGTTTATATAGGAAAACTAGATTCATGAGCATAATTTGTTTAATTTCAATTGGAAACATTTCAGACTTGGTTAGAGTTATGAATGAAGGGTGATAGCTTGATGGTATGCCCATTTTGATCCTGACTGACCCCCAGGGGCTGATCGGCGGGGCCCAAAATGGGTCAGATTGACTTAAATGTCACAAAATCTTCTCAAGACCAAGATATGAGTCAAATGCTGTTCATGACTGGAAGCATATCATGGTGCAATAATTACCAAAATGAGTCTCATTTCTCCAGGGGAGGAAGATTTGTTAGACTTCACTGTAATTTTCATAGAAAAATTTTTTTTTTTGAGCATGACATTGGTTATTTCCCACTGGAAATTACTTTACAAGAATTATCTTAATAGGATGACAGTTTTGATGGAATGCATGTATTGATACTGTCTATATTCAGTGTCACAATTTCTGTTTCATGGCACTTTAACCTTTATATTCAATATTGCTTATCTCAGGTGACCGTCAAGGCCACTAGGCATCTTGCTTTTGTTTTTTGGTAATTTCCTTGTCATTTAAATTTATTAATTTGTTACCATATTTAAGTAATCAGAAGACAAATATTTATAGATCCATGGCATTATTATTATCATTATGACATTCTTAAAGGCCCATCAACACATAAAAGGTCATTAGGGCCATCAACTGGTAAAAATACACAGCGATTCAAAAAAGGAAACAACATTAAAGAAACCAAGAGACTAATGTACAAATGGGTACACCACCACCACATAAGACCAAAATGGCATGTCATAGTCCACCACACAGACCAACATCCCTCAGGCAACCCAGAACCCCACAAATCCCAACAGCTCCAAAAAGGGGCACCAGACCTGCAACACCATGACAAAAACACTCCCGGGCAGAAAGAAGGCCAATACAGTCCAACAAAAAATGCTCAACAGTGAATGGCCCGTAACATCCCATGCACTGAGGACCATCCTTGCCCCTCAACATACGTGAATGTGCAAGGAGGTCCAATGGTACCAGTCAAGATATAGATATATATATATATAGAAACAAGGAAATAGTTATGAGGGTTTAAATCTATAATATTTTTGTGTTGGGTCACAAACAAGATGTTAACTTTTATAACAGTGAACAAAGGAAAGATAAGTACAGTGAAGGCAAACACCAATTTTTCCTTCTTTTTTCTTTTGTCTGTGTTTCTTGCTTTTTATCTAAATGTAGTTATTTAAATTGAAAGATATCTCAAACTGCCTTATTTGAATAATCCAAATAAATGCCAATTCAAATGATAAAGTATTCTGACTCCATGTGCAAGAAATGAGAAGAAGGGAAAGTTACTATATACAGTTACATTTGTATGTTACCAGGGGCCAAACATTCTAACAGCGTCCAAAATTACATGTGTTTAAAGTTATATCTGTATTCCAATTCAAGATAATTAACATGTTCACTTTTTAGCATATGAAGATCTATAGTAAAGGGAAGCAACTCCTACACAACTATATTTACCCCCCTCATATTTGAATAATCTTGTTTCCAGCATATGAAGAACTACGAAATCCTTATGCAACGAGTGTCGTCCTGGCTCAAACCATCTGGAATGCTGTTCCTTCAGATTCTCTGTCACATTAGACACCCTTACTCTTTTGACACTAAACCAGGGTCTGACACGGAATGGATGGCTAAAAATTTCTTCACTGGTGGAACAATGCCTTCTTCAGACCTCTTTCTCTATTTTCAGGTAAATAAGCCAATGCAGGATTTTGTTCAGGTGGTAGGGGGTACATTTTTCATTTCATAATGTTTGTAACAGAGGTCTTTTTATTTATTTCAATGCCTCCACTAGGATTGGAACTTGAGATCCCTGACTCGCTAGCCTGACACTCTACTAGAGAAATTCTCTCGGTATATTGCGGCTAGCATTTTGCTAGGGTTACATACTCCCCCTCGAGGAAATAACTTGTCCTCGAGTTTCCAGGGGTTACAGCGATGCATGTGGGGCATGGCTAAGGATTATTTCAAGTCCCTACATGGGCACCAATGTAACAGAGGTCATGCTTATTTCAATGCCTCCTCTAGGATTCGTACCCGGGACCTCTGGCTCACTAGCCTGACTTTCAACTGATCAAGCTAAATAGAAGCTCTCTCCTGCCGAGCAATATATTGTAGCTAGTAGTTACCAATTTAAAATTTTAATCATATGTTTGAATTCATGAAGATTGCATATTTTTTTTTATTTATGCAATATCTTTGTGCTCTACCGTTCCATTAGACTTAGATTGGAAGTAAAAACAGTATGTACTAGATAGACCACTCATTCCATTATTCATAAACAAGAAATGTTTTATTCAAATTTTAGGATATTTTGGATGTTGATGAAAAAACTAATACTGGAACATCCCAAAGTCTTAATTTGTTTCCATGGTGATGTGTGCTGACAAAGAGCACGATTTAGGTAATTGAAAAGCTTGTGTGGCTGCTTATATATATGATAAACCTCCCCCTAGATACTTTTCTGATGGCCATCATATGTGTATCCCCCTATATATATGATAAACCTCCCCCTAGATACTTTTCTGATGGCCATCATATGTGTATCCCCCTATATATATGATAAACCTCCCCCTAGATACTTTTCTGATGGCTATCATATATGTATCCCCCTATATATATGATAAACCTCCCCCTAGATACTTTTCTGATGGCTATCATATGTGTATCCCCCTATATATAATGATAGATCCCCGTAGATATTTTTCTGATGACCATCATATATGTATCCCCCTATATATATGATAAACCTCCCCCTAGATACTTTTCTGATGGCCATCATATATGTATCCCCCTATATATATGATAAACCTCCCCCTAGATATATATCCCCCTTATATATGTATCCCCCTATATATATATATGATAATATGTACCTCCCCCTAGATACTTTTCTGATGACCATCATATATGTATCCCCCTATATATATGTATCCCCCTATATATATATGTATCCCCCTATATATATGATAATATATGATAAACCTCCCCCTAGATACTTTTCTGATGGCCATCATATGTGTATCCCCCTATATATATGATAAACCTCCCCTAGTTACTTTTCTGATGAACATCATATATGTATCCCCCTATATATATGTATGATAACCCCCCCCCAGATACTGTTGTGATGACCTCATATATGTATCCCCCTATATATATGATAAATATATATGATAAACCTCCCCCTAGATACTTTTCTGATGGCCATATATATGTATATATATGATAAACCTCCCCCTAGATACTTTTCTTATGACCATCATATATGTATCCCCCTATATATATGATAAACCTCCCCCTAGATACTTTTCTGATGAACATCATATATGTATCCCCCTATATATATGATAAACCTCCCCCTAGATACTTTTCTGATGAACATCATATATGTATCCCCCTATATATATGATAAACCTCCCCCTAGATACTTTTCTGATGAACATCATATATGTATCCCCCTATATATATGATAAACCTCCCCCTATTTACTTTTCTGATGAACCATATATATGTATCCCCCTATATATATATATGATAAATCTCCCCATAGATACTTTTGTGATGACCATCATATATGTATCCCCCTATATATATGATAAATATGATAAACCTCCCCCTAGATACTTTTCTGATGGCCATCATAGATGTATCCCCCTATATACATGATAAACCTCCCCCTAGATACTTTTCTGATGGCTATCATATATGTATCCCCCTATATATATGATAAACCTCCCCCTCATTTCTATTCTAATGAACATCATATATGTATCCCCCTATATATATATGATAGATCCCCGTAGATATTTTTCTGATGACCATCATATGTGTATCCCCCTATATATATGATAAACCTCCCCCTCATTTCTATTCTAATGAACATCATATATGTATCCCCCTATATATATGATAAACCTCCCCCTCATTTCTGTTCTAATGACCATCATATATGTATCCCCCTATATATATGATAAACCTCCCCTAGTTACTTTTCTGATGACCATCATATATGTATCCCCCTATATATATGATAAACCTCCCCCTCTATATATATGATATATGAACATCATATATGTATCCCCCTATATATATGATAAACCTCCCCCTCAATATTTTTCAAATGGCCATCATATATGTATCCCCCTATATATATGATAAACCTCCCCCTAGATACTTTTCTGATGGCCATCATATATGTATCCCCCTATATATATGATAAACCTCCCCCTAGATACTTTTCTGATGACCATCATATATGTATCCCCCTATATATATGATAAACCTCCCCCTAGATACTTTTCTGATGGCCATCATATATGTATCCCCCTATATATATGATAAACCTCCCCTAGTTACTTTTCTGATGACCATCATAGATGTATCCCCCTATATATATGATAAACCTCCCCCTAGATACTTTTCTGATGGCCATCATATATGTATCCCCCTATATATATGATAAATCTCCCTCTAGATACTTTGATGATGGCCATCATATGTGTATCCCCCTATATATATATATATATATGATAAACCTCCCCCTAGATACTTTTCTGATGACCATCATATATGTATCCCCCTATATATATGATAAACCTCCCCCTCATTTCTATTCTAATGAACATCATATATGTATCCCCCTATATATATGATAAACCTCCCCCTAGATACTTTTCTGATGACCATCATATGTGTATCCCCCTATATATATGATAAACCTCCCCCGAGATACTTTTCTGATGACCATCATATATGTATCCCCCTATATATATGATAAACCTCCCCCTATGATATATATGTATCCCCCTATATATATATATATGATTTTCTGATGACCATCATATATGTATCCCCCTATATATATGATAAACCTCCCCCTAGATACTTTTCTGATGACCATCATATATGTATATATATATGATAAACCTCCCCCTAGATATATTTTCTGATGATATATATGATAAACCTCCCCCTATGACATCATATATGTATCCCCCTATATATATGATAAACCTCCCCCTATATCATCATATATGTATCCCCCTATATATATGATAAACCTCCCCCTAGATACTTTTCTGATGGCTATCATATATGTATCCCCCTATATATATGATAAACCTCCCCCTCAATATTTTTCAAATGGCCATCATATATGTATCCCCCTATATATATGATAAACCTCCCCGTAGATACTTTTCTGATGACCATCATATATGTATCCCCCTATATATATGATAAACCTCCCCCTAGATACTTTTCTGATGGCCATCATATATGTATCCCCCTATATATATATATATGATAAACCTCCCCCTAGATACTTTTCTGATGAACATCATATATGTATCCCCCTATATATATGATAAACCTCCCCTAGTTACTTTTCTGATGAACATCATATATGTATCCCCCTATATATATGATAAACCTCCCCCTAGATACTTTTCTGATGACCATCATATGTGTATCCCCCTATATATATGATAAACCTCCCCCTAGATACTTTTCTGATGGCTATCATATGTGTATCCCCCTATATATATGATAAACCTCCCCCTAGATACTTGATGACCATCATATATGTATATATATAATGATAAATCTCCCCCTAGATACTTTTGTGATGAACTCATATATGTATCCCTCTATATATATATCTAATAAACCTCCCCCTAGATACTTTTGTGATGACCTCATATATGTATCCCCCTATATATATGATAAACCTCCCCCTAGATACTTTTGGGATGACCTCATATATGTATCCCCCTATATATATGATAAACCTCCCCCTAGATACTTTTCTGATGACCATCATATATGTATCCCCCTATATATATGATAAACCTCCCCCTAGATACTTTTCTGATGACCATCATATGTGTATCCCCCTATATATATGATAAACCTCCCCCTCATTTCTATTCTAATGAACATCATATATGTATCCCCCTATATATATATGATAGATCCCCGTAGATATTTTTCTGATGGCCATCATATATGTATCCCCCTATATATATGATAAACCTCCCCGTAGATACTTTTCTGATGACCATCATATATGTATCCCCCTATATATATGATAAACCTCCCCCTCCCCCATATATGTATCCCCCTATATATATTTTCTGATGAACATCATATATGTATCCCCCTATATATATGATAAACCTCCCCCTAGATACTTTTCTGATGAACGTCATATATGTATCCCCCTATATCTATGATAAACCTCCCCTAGTTACTTTTCTGATGGCTATCATATATGTATCCCCCTATATATATATATCCCCCTATATTTTTCTGATGGCCATCATATATGTATCCTCCCCCTAGATACTTTTCTGATGACCATCATATATATATGTATCCCCCTATATATATATATATGTATACCTCCCCCTAGATATTTTTCTGATGAACCATCATATATGTATCCCCCTATATATATGATAAACCTCCCCCTATATATTTTTGTGTTGACACTAATACCTTTATCCCCCTATATATATATATATGATAAACCTCCCCCAGATTTTTTATGAGCTTTTTGCGGATATATAGAGGGCAGGACCCCGCATATATATGAAAACCTCCCCCTGAGTCTTTTCAAAATTATATAAAACTATATGATAAATTGGTAGCCATTTACACAGGGTAAATTTTCCTATCCGAGAAAAATAGAAAATCATGAATTTTCTTTTTATATAAAATAATATCGGTCGAGGAGTGGGTCTGTCTCTTTAAGATTGTTTTTAAAGAATTTTGGCTTGATCTAATAGATAATAATCCTGTGTCTTTAGAGCATTGGGATAATTGTAAATCTAATTCTTCCTCTGTTACTAATTTCAGTGACATTTTAGCAGCCTTTCGAGACTTTTATACCAAACTTTTTTCCGAGGAAGATATCGATTTTGAGTTGGCCGACTCATTTTGTGATAACCTTCCCAAACTTAACGAACTTGAAGTGTCGTTTACATATCATATCCATCTTATGATGTAGGGATAATGACATTTTACCGGGGCTACCGGTTGTACATCAGTCTCTGGCGTCATTGGGGTCTGTCTCATGACGTTTTCCCCTATATATATGTTAATTAACTTTTTATGTAAAGTTATAAGGTTCCTTCCGGTCGAGGCCCTTCCATTGCACTCCGGTCGGGATAAACCCTGCGATAATCCCAAATGCGGATTACTCGGGTACGCTATTGTTTACTGTGGGGGTCTGCGTTTGCGCTAACCCTCACCTATAAACAAGAAATAATAAAAATACACTACACGTGGCGTTCGTGACAAGCCTGTACTAATATCACGACTTAAGTGCACAAACACTGCATTCTGCAGCAAATTATACCACTTGCAATCAACATGACGAAGGGCAAATAACGATGTTTTTTAACTTCAAAGCACATTGCATTGCAAATTATATTTGTATATTAATTACATTGCATTTCACTTATCATTAGGATCACTTGCTAGAATTAAGAAATGTTCATACAGGTTTTGAGATGTTGGTCCATATAATAGATTGGCGTTCCATTATAATCTTTTATTTTAATATACATGTGTCGGTGTCTTTCACCGATTGATGGCCCAATGGCCTTCATGTATTAACTGGCCGTTAAAATCGCAATGCAAAATGATAATTGTCGATTATTTCGATCGTCAACTGAACACAATAACGGATCACTTCAAAATTGTTTATTCATTGACAATGGTTTTTAGAGTGAGCATGATAATTTGTTCATACATGTATTTCACTTTTTATTATCAATTACGTTAATGTCACGGATATTAACTTTGAACAGTTTGTAAAAATAAAGTACCTCCATCTTCATAACTGTAATAATATTTTGAATATTTATCTAGCTACTTTGCTCCTAATCCAATGTATTGACGGACTGTTAAGATAGTAATAATACTAACATTAAGAGGTACAAAATAGCTCTATATAGCTGGTCAAAACATCAAAAACAACGATTTTTTCCGTGGAATATGTTTCTATATTAGCCACACAAACACATATTACAGATTTCGCCTGTATAGTTATATGAACGGTCAAACAATCAAGGAATGATATATATAACTTGATATCAAATCAGTCTATACATTTGATAATATATCTAATTTACAGTAAACACCTACTTACTGATATTATATATTTGGCACATATTGAAAAATAAAGTAGGAAAAGAGATCGATTTGAAAATTATGCCAGGAAATGTCCAATCAGTTGTGTTTCTCTATTCTAAGGTTAAAGCAGAAATCTGAATTCATATGCCTAGCATATACCACCTAATAAATCACACACTTCTCAATCTATTAGACAATCTCATTCTTACACGGGAATAGATCAGGCACCGCCCTACTTTATATAGACCATTTTAATGCTGTCAACACAAAGGAAAACCAAAGCAAATAATCACAAAAGTATTTTTGAGAGACTAGCAAGACATCTAAAATGGCTATGTTTCGCTATGTCCATTCTAAAATAAAACTATTAAACTGTTAATACAAAGACAAAGTCTTTTTAAGGATAAAAAGAATATTTTCATCATATGACGGTCTACAATCGCCATTAGTTCGTGATTCAATTCAATTCAATTGACTGTATAGTATATATCAAATACATTAATGTTATATTACATATTTGTTCTTATAGAAGTCACTGAAAATTCATTGCAATGGTCACTTCTACTAATCAATATCGCTGTCTCTTCTCCAAACGGTAAAGTTCTCTTTCACGTGGACGTCTTTGTTGCTTTGGCTCATAGTCATCCTAAAACAGAACAATCATATTCATACTCAAACAGGACATCATAGTCATCTTAAAACAGAACAATCATATTCATACTCAAACAGGACATCATAGTCATCTTAAAACAGAACACTCATATTTATACTCAAACAGGACATCATAGTCATTATCAAACAGAACACTCATATTTATACTCAAACAGGACATATTCATACATCTTAAAACAGAACAATCAAACAGGACATCATATTCATAAAACAGTCATAGTATAAAACAGGGATACTAGTCATCCTAAAACAGAATTTATACAATCATAGTCATCCTAAAACATATTTATACTCAAACAGGACATCATAGTCATTATAAAACGGGATAACCAGAGTCATCCTAAAACAGAACAATCATATTCATACTCAAACAGGACATCATAGTCATTATAAAACGGGATAATCAGTCATCCTAAAACAGAACAATCATATTCATACTCAAACAGGACATCATAGTCATTATAAAACGGGATAATCAGTCATCCTAAAACAGAACAATCATATTCATACTCAAACAGGACATCATAGTCATCTTAAAACAGAACACTCATATTTATACTCAAACAGGACATCGTAGTCATCCAAAACAGTACACTCATATTTATACTCAAACAGGACATCATAGTCATTATAAAACGGGATAACCAGAGTCATCCTAAAACAGAACACTCATATTTATACTCAAACAGGACTTCATGATCCTCCTAAAACAGAACACTCATATTCATACTCAAACAGGACATCATAGTCATTATAAAACAGAACAATCATATTTATACTCAAACAGGACATCATAGTCATCTTAAAACAGAACAATCATATTTATACTCAAACAGGACATCATAGTCATTATAAAACGGGATAATCAGTCATCCTAAAACAGAACACTCATATTTATACTCAAACAGGACTTCATGATCCTCCTAAAACAGAACACTCATATTCATACTCAAACAGGACATCATAGTCATTATAAAACAGAACAATCATATTTATACTCAAACAGGACATCATAGTCATCCTAAAACAGAACACTCATATTTATACTCAAACTCAAACAGGACATCATAGTCATATTTATACTAAACAGGACATCATAGTCATCCTAAAACAGAACACTCATATTTATACTCAAACAGGACATCATAGTCATCCTAAATCCTAAAACAGAACAATCATATTTATACTCAAACAGGACATCATAGTCATCCTAAAACAGAACACTCATATTCATACTCAAACAGGACATCATAGTCATCTTAAAACAGAACAATCATATTTATACTCAAACAGGACATCATAGTCATTATAAAACAGAACAATCATATTTATACTCAAACAGGACATCATAGTCATCCTAAAACAGAACACTCATATTCATACTCAAACAGGACATCATAGTCATCTTAAAACAGAACACTCATATTTATACTCAAACAGTACTTCATGATCCTCCTAAAATAAAACACTCATATTTATACTCAAACAGGACATCATAGTCATCCTAAAACAGAACACTCATATTCATACTCAAACAGGACATCATAGTCATTATAAAACAGAACAATCATATTCATACTCAAACAGGACATCATAGTCATCCTAAAACAGAACAATCATATTTATACTCAAACAGGACATCATAGTCATCCTAAAACAGAACAATCATATTTATACTCAAACAGGACATCATAGTCATCTTAAAACAGAACACTCATATTTATACTCAAACAGGACATCATAGTCATCCTAAAACAGAACACTCACTGTCAGTTTTAGACAAAACACTGTCATTTTTAAACGGGACGTTCATAGTCATCCTAAAACAGAATACTTATTATCATCACAGAACATTCATTATCATCCTCAAAACAGAACACTCATTACCATCCTAAAATAGAACACGTTAACGGAATAGGGGCTAAAATGTTACATATTTAAAATGTTTACAAAGTAGAAAGAATTCAATAACCTCTTTCTATACAAATAAAGTATTTAATACAGTGTAATATTAGGTCATCTAATATACTACTGCTTATCGCCTTGGCGGATTTCAATTCATTTTGTTCAGAAACATCGTTGAGGTGGCAAATAATTCTTAAACTTAAAAATTTGGTTTCACCGTTAGTGATATAATGCCTTAGTAGATTTAAACCAAATTTGGCCTGAAACATTATCAGGGAGTGGCAATGATATCAAACACGCATGAAGTGATCCTCAGATTGTCCTGACAAAATCTTATTTTTACGCTATGGTCCAAAATCCAACATAACTCATCGCGAACATACAGTTTGAAATTATGCTCATGTTTCTTTCACACCAAGGAAAAAATAATTAGATATTGTATTCCTAAAGAAAAAAATTGTTATAGTCTGTTAAAAGCGTCAACATGGTAACGTAACCACAGAAGTTTTTCATACACAAAACCTACCATTTATGGGTTTCTGATATTTTAAGGGAATGTTCAAAATTTGAATTTTGTGTTTTGACCATCCATTCGTCGGTCGATTGTCAGAAAACAATTAAGGCCATGGTCCTCTTTTTTCTGTTTTTTCTTTCTTCTTTTTTAGTTATCTTTTGGATTTCTATTTTCTGTTTCCTTCTTTTATAATCAATATTCTGGGATTCATCGATGGTACTTGGTACCTAACTTGTGAACGTTAAAATCACAATCAAATTCGCTTTAGTAGTTAAAACAGATTGTGATGCGTTTGATTCAAAAGAACTTCAATTACAGAGAAACTACTGCGAAAACATGGTTTAGATAATGCACATTTACAAACTACAAAAAGGTAATAAAGATAGAAAAAGGACAAGCCATTCTCTTTATTAGGTCAAAGGCACACTTACCAGATACTGAGCACGGGGTACCCGGACCTGTTTGTGATTAAGATCCTTTGGTGGTGCTGACGGCGTTACCTTGGTAGCAGGTTTATGTTTAGGGTCGAAGCTGGGAGTGTTAACGCCACAGAGTTTGATAAACATTATCATGAAAAGAACAAGACCCATTGCTATCAGCATCACAATCCACCAGTGCTCCTAGGAGAATGTACAAAAGACACGCAAATGAATATAGCACTTTTGTTACTAATTTCAATAAGATACAGTAGAATAAAACTTGCACCTGTGACATCCTTCTAGGACTGATGATGATGCTAAGTGCATATTCAGTTAAAGCCTGATGTGCAGGTTAAGGTAAATTGCGGGGACTAATACGCCACCACAGTGTCTAATACCTCGTAAACGAAGATATTTATGGTGCCATTCACTTCAAAGGACGTAAAAGACAAAGGATTATCTGTCTCTGATCTAATTGAATGAACGAGATTTACAAATATTTACAATTCATTTAAACTAAAATCAATGAAATGGTAAGACAATTTTATCAATAAATGTAAATAGGACGAGATCTTACAACAATCCATTCGCGGATCATCGTCCATGTCTCGTTACCAAAAATGAGATTCTGCAACCTTGCCAACGGTCCATTATTGTTCACGCTTCGACATCGACTAAACACGTCACAATAGCCCTTGAAATCGTCACAAGGAGACCCTTAGAGTAAAGATATCATAAGAACATAATTCATTTGTATTAGCGATTAAAAAAGACTTAATTGCACGTTACAATCTATTTACTTCCGGTCTCTAAAATTGTCATGAAACAAAGAGCAATTCTCAAGTTATCACTAGGAAGAGTTTACCTACTTCAACTAGAACAAGTTTTGGGTGTTGAATGGCCGTCAAGAATGTAATGATAATAATATAGTCAGTGATGTATGCTATGGGGCATTGATTGGACGTCGATTTAGCCCGATATTAGTCCGTCGCCCAAAAGAAGGGCTTCCTGCTCTACTTAGGATGACGTGTTCACACTCTTATACAAGATGCATCACTTACAAATTGAGGTATAAAGCTCAACTTACCCGCCGGAAGAGGAACTTCGGAATCAGCGGTGTCTGTGACTTCACGCACTAGGGCTTTATAGTTGTCGTATTGTGCGCCATCAGGTATTGCGCGCGAGCTGATACAGCTTCCGTTAACTAATAAACACATAACAGGCTAATATATTCAAAGAAAATAACACAGCTAACATTGTAAACATGTTACAACATTATTAGACTTGACGTTTATCAACTTTGTGGCTTTGACGTAAAACCTCCGCTGAATATATCGTTACAGAACCAAAATTAAATCGCAAAAATCATCAATATATATTTTCATTTAATTATTTACTATGTGACATTTTTATATCATCCTATCTAGCCGGAATATATCATTCGACTTTTAACTACCACCCTAACAACATATCCCTCACCACACAGCCTTACCGGCGATTCCATCGTTGCTGGACGGTTTTCATGAAATCATGGGTGTGATGTAGACAAAAAATTATCACCATACCGCAATCCCCATGCACCGAAAATTAAATCGACAAAAAGTGTACTCACATTGACAAGATAGGTAACAGGAAGTACTGCTCATACACTCCTTCCATAACGATATATTGTTATTAGTTGTGTACCCAATACGTTTACATAGTGATCCAGTACATTCCTGTGTTAAAAGAAAACAAAATACGGCATCTTTTCATATTTTTAAAGAACAAATAAAGTATTAAACTTATTTCTGATGACGAAGATGAAAATAATTGCATTAGGACGTTGATGAAGAGCAAAACAAATCAATACATTTCCGAACGCCTTTTTTGGTACAAGCTTTAGAATATGTGTATGAGGAATAAATATATTTTTCATATATAATTCCTATTTCTGTCCAGACTAAAACATTCACGTTCATTTTCATGGCATCCTTAAAAAAAAACCCAATTTTCGTCCTTTATTACATGAAAAGGGTAGGATACATGATATTCAAAAAACATGTGAAAATACTAAGTTTTCCTTTACTTTACGGCGTTTTAAACTGCATAGCAACCATAAAAATATTCAGTCGTGTCTTCGTTTTTTTACCTTCTTCTAGTATTAAACCTTTGAAAAGATTTTATGTTTGGAGATGGAACTTTTCGAGGATACTTTTCATTATTAAGAATTATTATTATTTTAAATTTGCAGCAAAAGATCACGAAATAAACAAAATATTTGTCACGAATTTGAAAATTAGTGATTTATGATGATAATTCATGCAAAATTTAGCTGACATTCATCAATAACTCAGGAGAAGAACCTTAGTGTTTAGAAAACATTGAAAGTGTTAAAACGTTTAACCAAATAACTTCGTCAACTATACCATCAGCAATGACGTCCACAAGCGAAATGTCATCAACACGTCATGATAACAGCTTTATCCTGTTCTGAGAAGCACAATTTTACAACAGACTTGCTATGTTCTGATAAACGATGTTACAACAGAGTCTTACATTGCTCTGATGGACACTTTTTTTGTAATACATAATTTTATTTCCTTTTGGTCCACATATTGACATGATAATTTCAAATTAATGACATACACTTTTCAAAGTATTTTAATAATTACGATTCATTACAATGCATTTTTTATCTAGAGAATAAAGCATACTGATTAACTGAAAAGATTTTCCAAAGTACGCCATTTTTGTGTTATTTCTTGTATTTTATTAAAAAAAACTGTCTATAAGTAATTATCTCGATTTCTTTATATCGTTTTAACTGAAAGATGCCTCTTATTGAAGCACAGATGAATTACACACACACATATATATATATAGTCTTATCATTAAAAGGCAATAGTTTATTATTAAATTATTTTGATTATTATTTGAGCAACCAAAAATGGCGTCCATTGGGAAAATCGTGCATTCAATATTGCATTTTGTATTGAGTTGAGAACTCTCTCCAAATGGTGTATACACGAATACAACCCCAAAGTATATGATAAATATCTTCGTCCTCAAAATCACCAAAAACTGCATCTTTTACTCTCTTTGATACCGATTTTATCAATTATTGTGGTACAAAATTTTGAATAAAAGATTTTTGTTGGTTTGCTCGTGCTTGTAGTAAGCCTGATATTTTCTGTTTCTCTAACAGCATTACTGCCATAATTACGAATTAGTCTTTTCCATGTACCTAGGATGGCTGAAATCAAACCATAAAATTAAATTCTTTGCACATATGGAATATCAAAATGTTCCCTATACTGCTGAAAAGTTAGTATTTTACCCTCATTATCTGAAAAATTATTGATACCCTTATCTTGCCATAGCTGGTTATATACAAATTAATTTCCTATTTTAATGTCACTATTGAACCAAACTGCTACGAAAGGTAATATTCTGCAGTGTTTTCCTCTCTGTTGACATAACTCCATGCCAAAAATACATCTCTCCAGATCGAGTTGAGATTTCTTACTATTTTTATCACGTCATATCTATTATATTCAAGAATATTAAACTCGCCATATCTTTCTAGATCATCTAGCAATAGTAATTTCCAGGGAGATGTATTTCGGGGATCGAGTAATTTCTTTACCCATGTTAGTGTCAAAGAATTTATAAAACATTCACTATCTGTCATTTTGAATCCACCATTTTCATAATTATTTTTTAAAGTAGAACGCTTAATCTCATTTATCGTTCCAAATAAAGCTGAAACATATACTTTCTATTTTATGAACTATATGGTGTGGTGGATTTGGTTACACGGTAAACACTTGTACTAGAATAGGTAATGCAAGTGATTTAATCACTGTGATTTTACCAGCTATGGTGAGATTTCTTGGGGACCAATTTTTAATATACTTTCAATTTCTTTGATTTTTTTCTTCGTAATTAACAAACGTTGTGTCTGTTTTACTAAGATCATATTTAATACCAAGAAGTTTAAATTTGCCTCCGTTTTCTCATAATTAACTTTTAACCCAGTACAGTTTCCAAAGGAGCCTAAGATATCTAATGCCTCTTTCAATGATCTTTCTTCATCATCAAGATGTAATGTAGAATCTTCCGCATACTGACTCGCCAAAATCTACGTTCCGTCTATTTTAATATCATTTATATCAGGAGAATACTTCAAAGCGGCACTTAACGTTTCTGTTACAAGAATAAACAGATACGGCGAGAGAGGATCTCCCTGACGAACACCCCTCTTCATATCAAAGTTTGAACAAAACCCATTATTTATTACACAACTAGTTACGACATTGTGAAGTAGCTTAACCAATGATTTTATCAGGGAATTTCTATTCTACTGTATAAAAAGCTTTTTCAAAGTCAATTAAAAGTAAAATTCCTGAAATATTCTGTTTTTCACTTTTTTCGATCAAATCATTCACAATCCGGGTGCATTCGCCTATATATCTACATTTAAGAAAACCCTTCTGTGTATCACTGATAACTATATTCAAGACCCTTTTTAATCTATTAGCTAAAATTGAAGTTATGATTTTATAATCATCATTCAGTAATGAAAATGGTCGCCAATTTTTTCAAAAGTCTTTAGATTTGTTTGGCTTTGGTAAACTTGTTATTACGCCTTGCTTTTGAGTGATAGATAATTATTTGGTTTCAAAACTGTATTGAATTGAATTAATAAGAAAACGTTTTAAAGCTTTCCAAAAGAACTTATAAAATTCCACTTTAAAGCCGTCTAAACCTGGTGATTTACAGCTTTTCATTTTAAAAAGAGTATTCGCGCATTCTGCTTCAGTGACGTCACTATCACGAAATTGTTTTTCTTCTTCACTAAGTTTATTAATAAACGGATTATCATTACAAAAAAACCTCACTTTGGTCTTCGGTTATGTCAGGGTATCTAGCATTATATAAATTTTCGTAAAATAGTCTTTGTTCTTCCAAAAGGTTTTCAATAATTACAAGTTCAGAACCATCATCAAGAATTAATTTAGGAATAAGTTTCTCTTTTCTAAATGACAAAAATATTTAATACATTTTTCGCCCTCCATATTCCACCTAGCTTTTGCTCTGATCATCAGTCTCCGTACTTTCTCTTCTCGTAGATTAGAACGTTCGTTTTCTTTTTCCTCAAAAATTACAGCTGTTTCTTGATTTTCAAACGCCAAAGGGTCACTTTGTAACTGTAATATTTCTGATTCTAATTTGCCCATTCTTTTCTTTTTTCTCCTATTTCCAACTAGCATATGAAACAGTTTTGCCCCATATAGCTAATTTTATCATTTCCCACAAAAAAAGATCATTCACTGAAAAGCGAGTGTTGTCGAAATTATTATCAACTATTTCATCCACTGCATAATTTGTAAGAACTTGGTTAATAACCGTTTTAATAATATCGGTATACGTTTTATCAAATAGTAATGAATTGTTTAACTTCAAAGTTCCCCAACCCCGTTCATGATTATGTAGCTTTAACTTAATAATAATTGGTGCATGATCGGATTGGTATTTCAATCCTATGTTGGAGAAAGTTACCAGGGGCTGAAGGTCAGAGGAAACCAAAACATAATCAAGCCGACGACGTTTTCCACTAGGCCTAAACCAGCTAAACCGTTTAGTATCTGGTTGCTGAATTCGCCAAATATCTATTAAGTCGAGTTCGTCCATAGTATCAATTATAGCAAGCCGAACATTTTTATTGTTTTCTCTCATATATTTGCGAGTATATTTTTCGAAAGACATGAAAGCGTTAAAAACTCCGGTAATAATTACCGAGTCATTATCAAAAAGACAAACATTCCTTTTTAAACGATGAAAAAAAAAAATCCGGCGAATCACTATTTGGACCATACACACATCCTAGAGTCATTCTTTGGTTTTGAATACTTATGTCAAGAATTATGAAATTTCCAAATTCATCGGACAAAACTCTATGTATTTTTTTCCAAACTATTTTTGAACAATATAGCAACATCACAACTGTTTCCTGTATGAGAACAAAAATAGCAATCCAGACCACATTCATGTTTCCACTGCCGTTCTGAAGATGCTTTAGAATGAGTATCTATCAATACTGAAATGTCATGATTTCTTTCCCTGCAGAAATGAAATATATCCCTTCTTTTCATGTTATCTGATAAACCTCGGCAGTTCATACTAGCTATAGTAAGTTAACCCATAATCAACTTCTGTCATCTTCTCTGGGAATAAGTAATACATTGTTACAGCTAATGCTTACCCAGTTCTGGTAGACATTACAACACAAAGGCTTACCCCATTCTGACAAATAGCCAGTTTGTCATTACACAGTGTTACTATATCCGGTCTTTTCCTTGCAGGTGGACACTTCGCCGAGTCACCGCTAGTCTTAGTTAAGATGATTTATACATCAGAGTTCTAATGCAGAAAAATAAAATAATGTTAAGTTACCATGTCTGGTGTTTTGACAATTCAATAAGTTTTTATATGAGAAAAGCTCATTGATATCTATCTAGATTGTTGTGGCCGATATTATCGATGAAAAATTAAATGATCATGTGGTGTTTTTACCACATATCCTTTAAATGTTTATCTGTTTCCTCTTTTATCGACTTGGGATCAATAATACGATTCCTTTAACATGCAGATATTCTCATTTATCTTTACAATTGCAATTCATTAACATTCTTTGGTACACCTTTGTTATTTGTACATACACATTGTGCTCCATTAAGTTTTAGGTGTCTAACTTGCAGAGATCAATTTTCCGATCGTTTAAACAGTAAATCGAAGTTAATGGAACAAATTACGACATCATAAAACTGATGTGTGTCTAATTCAATATAATTCATATAAATTACGATTTTGTTGTGCATTGTTTTGGTAAACTTTCATTGAAACCGGCTCAGGAGTTTTACAGAAAAAGTCGGAAATGTTAAAAGTTTACGTCGTACGACACCGGACAAAAGACGATCACAATAGGTCACCCTGAGTTTTGGTGTTGGGTGACCTAAATACTAAGATTTACCATCATATAACATCAGACTTGAGTGTGAACAAGTTACTTTGATGGTATCAATTAAAAAACGAACAACAAATGAAATAAAATGCACCAGATAGGATCTTACTTTAAACTATCATTAACTTGCGTTGGGAAGAACAAAGTTGCTCAATAGATATAATAAATAATTTACTGTCTTACTGTCAATAAGGACAAAGGTTAACGAAGTCTCTTTTTTTAAAAAACGTTATGATAATATAACCATTTAATTTTCTTAGCATTTGTCTTTTATCTTTAAGTTTGATGTTATTTCCCTTCTGGATCGCTGTGTGTTTTTACAGGTTGATGGTCCGAATGACCTTTTATGTGTTGACAGGCCGTTAATAATGTCATGATAATAAGAATAATTATCTAAAAATGTCAATTAAGGATACGGACATTGTGATGCGTCAACACAGTCAGATGACGCCCGGCAAGTCTTGTTCTTGCCCAAGGAGATGAATTGGCAAGCAGGAGTACAACACGGGCCCTGTGATGGACTGAAAAGCAAGAATCGAAGCAACGGATATAAACGGATAATATCATCATCAACACAACAGGCCTTATCAAACAGCAAGAATTATTAGGAAGAAACATGTATTATCGACGATCGAAGAAGTCATTTACAACAAGAAACTGGCAAGGGAAATTTCACATATAAAACAGAAAAACACAAATACGCAGGTCGTCCAACACATGTTCAATGACATATACTCTATAAGCGATGTAAATATATTACTTTTTAGGCCATATTTTGGTTAAAACAAATCCAATCTGCTTACCACAACAAAACTGACATCATAGAACACATGATAATAACGAAGTTGAAATATCACGAACTCATTTAAATGCCATTATTTGTTTTTTTTTTAATCAGGCAGGCAAAACTGTCAAAAATGATCAGTTTCCATGCGAGTCTAGCCTCTAATACAATATTACCTACTTGGATTACAATTAATTTCGTTACTTACCTGCAAACCAAAATGTGATTGATGCCATTTACGGTTTTTCGGAGTGTGCAATCTGTACTTTTGCTTGGTTCGTGACGTGGATTGCAACATATCTCGTCACAATCGTCTTCATAACCACAGTCACATTCTTCTCCCTCCTCAACGATACCATTACCACAGAAGGATCCTTCCTGGTCTGGAAATCAACATGTAACGGCTGTGAAAATCCAGTCGCAATTGACTTCTCGGCTAGAGATTATTTTTCGTTTAAGCTCGAATTGAACACGAGACTAATAAGCTCGAGGTCCCGCAATCGATCCTTAAGGAAGGCATTGAAACTAAGACATTTGTTACGAAAACGGCGTCAAAAGAAAACAAAAGCAGGAAAGTAACTTCTACTTTTCTTTAAAAAGAGGCAAGACATCATTGAATAAAGACGAGGTAGAGTGGTATTGACACAATCCATACAGCAACAACAAACGTAGCCTTGAAAACGTGGATGAAATTATAATAAACCTCGAAGAATACAGGTATTTCGAAAAAAACTGTCGAATCAAGTAGCCAAAGGGATGGAGAAAATCAAAATAGATGGAGCAAACGGAAGGGAAACAAACTAAAGCAGGAAGCAGAGAACCAAAGCAGCCAAGCAAATGAGGTAATAAAATAACCCGACATTTCAATGCAGTCGACAACACGAATCGAGGTGACATAAAAGCTAAAAGGAAGCCTTATTTTTTTTAAATCGAGCAATGTGACCTTGAATACGGGTCCAGGTTATTTCATTCACGAGCTATGTGCGGTTTTATACCAACAACCGACCAACTAAACAATAAGATTGTATGTCCCTTAGTTAATCAAAAGCAGCCGTTTGAAGATGTAACCTTAAGTATGGGTCGACGTTTTTACAGCTTTGTCGGGCTTCATCGAAGGCACATTCCATCAAAATATCACGAGTGTAGGCCAGTTAAGAAAAGGTTCCGTTTGTAATGTTTTGTGCTTTATATAAATTTGCACTATGTCATGGTCCTCGTAATTTTGATGTTAATTGTAAAAACATTTGTTATTTCAGTGCACGCTAATATTTATTTGTTTTTGTATATCGATTTACCTGTGAATCATTTGAGCGTAACGTATTGTAGCCTTGCTCTGTATATAAGCGTAATACCTTTTGTCCATGCACGAGCTTTTGTAATTGAATTGAATTCATATAGCATACGCCTTTATTAACGATAAGGGAGTACGTCCTCATTGTTGAGGTTAACCTACGGGTATATAAGGCCGGAATTTCAGTGTCACAGTCTCTCTCATTCGCTGGAGCTGATAAAGGACACAAGGATAGTTGGTGAGCAACAGGGCATGAATACGGTGCACATGGTAACGCAGTGAGGAAAAACTGACATCGCCAGTAAATCCGGGTATATCGCTGAGGTATAGAGTTTGGCGAAGACGTCAGGGTTTGGCGTAAGGGGCAACGCGGGCGCCGGGAGATTGGCGACAGGTTGCCAAGGACGCCGGTTAAGAATATCACGGGACGGGCGAAAGAGGGATAGTCAACGGCGATGTGGGTGCCTCACACTGCGTTGCCAATGTACTTTTAAAGACACGCTGTTACTGACGCCGGCGTAATGCGGGCGTAACGCCGTCATTGCACCTGCCAAGTCTGTTTAGGCCAGTAACACCAAATTTGCCGGCGCATTACTTAACTTACGCATAATTTCACACCTAGAGGCGTACTCCCAATAGCAACGCAAATACTGTCTACTTAATGTCTACTGTGAGAGTATTATTTGTAGAAATGTCCTTTGTGAACTGTGTCAAATAAAACCTGTATTTGTCGACAACTGTTGTTTGTGAATAATTTGCGGCTACGCCAACTCGGCAGGGGGCGCTCTCGAAAGCAACTGATAGCCAAAAGGACCCGGACTGAAAAGGAAATCCCTTACACGTTTTTGACAAATGTTTACCCGTCACGATGAAATGGTGAAACTATTTGACGCCTAAAAAGCGACGGAGGTAAAGAAGACTTCAGAAAATGGGAATCGTGAGGATGATGACAATTGAAAAAACAATAGCTTAGAAAGTAAGATAAAAAAAAAAGAAAGAAAATTTAAAACATACACACAAAGACAGAATTAAAAGACTGGTGATTGGGCAAATCAACTGGACAAAACAGCCATTGAAACAAAGCACACAATTTCATTTTATATAATTTATTGTCCTTGAACACCACGGCTGAAAGGGGAAAACAGATTGTCCCTGAAAACCGTGTCTTACAGGAAAAAGCAAGATTTTCTTCGAACACCCCCGCTAAAAGAGTCACAATTTTTCCTCGAGTACCTCGGCTAAAAGGGGAAATTCAATTGTGATAAATAAAAGAGACATTGCGTTCTGTCCTGTCTATTGGTTTAGGAAGGACGAAACATCACTGTACTTTTTCTATAGAAGTTAAAAGTAGGAAGAACATCAGAATAATTTTATTAATCTGGATAAGATAATACGGCACGAATCGCTGGGCGCGACACTAAAATTATGTCTATGGGAAAATGCGATTATTTCCATATGCATGCCACGCAGAGATCGAAGGTATTTTCATCTATCTACTACATATTTGAACAGGACAGACTTGACGATACTAATATACTCAGTGGAAATACATTTTTCCTACCCATCAAACTTCTAATATTCACCAGCGATAGACATAGCAAATTGTTCCTGAGAGGCAAGATAGCAAGACACTGAAAAGTGTAAGCAGAAATTTTAGACGACATATGCTTCTCTTTTTGAATGTATGTATGATGAGTTCTTAACAACATCATCTAACATTGATACAATAACTTCAGAGACTTTGGTACGTAATACTCACTGTGTAGACAGTTCTTTTTAAATGTCCCCTCTAGTAGTGAATGTAGCACCCGTGTCATGTTGTCTTTGCTACACTGAGAGAATTTGTCATTATTGGGTAGATTTCCATGTGTAGCACTTGCGTACATTATAAAGTTTCCGTTAGAGGCCCCTGGATACTGCGTATTGTAGGGCGCGCATATACCAGTGTCATGCTAATAATAAAATATTTACATCAACATTTAAAGGACATATCCTTTACAATCTGAATTTATGATATGTTAATTCAAGATTCAGAACTTAATTAGGAAACTTCATATGTGATCCTGTTCATGCGAGATGAGAAGACACAAATGTTATTGAAGATATGCCAACTAAACAATGAAAGTGCATTACTATATGTAACATTTCTAAAACGCTTCTATATGGAAAATAAAACCACGAAAAGATTACTAAGATAATTGCAAAATTTTCATTCATTTTTTGAACTTGTGAAAGAAAAAATACAGGGTAGATAAATGCTTACTTTGAACGCGATATCATCAAGATCATGCCAACAAATGTATGTAAAACTAAAAACATTGATTGAAAAATTGTAGAATTATAATGAAAGGGAGATTATTCTTTGTTTATTAGTACATATAGATAGTTTAAGTGCGAAATGATTCCTCATTATAACTTACAGGAGATCCAAAATTGTGCCCCACCTCGTGGGCGAAGGTCAAATGAGACACGGTTGGGACAACACGCTTGCCGTAATTGATGATAGTGACTATCCCCGTGTTAAGGCTCTTGCTGACTGTCCGCCCGTCCTCTCCCGGAAATGGTTTATTCTTCTCGCAAATACCGCCGGCTGAATCTATCCGAAAAAAGAGGTCCTATATAAAAGGTTATCTATACCTTCAGCATGCTCCATAGACTTTATGATTGAAAAATAAACGGCTGATAACACAACATCCTTTAAGTGAGGGAAGCCAATTTTTTAAAATCGTTTTGGAAACTTTATGTTGGATTGTTTAAACCGATCAATGACTTGCGTTTTGTAAATAGAGATGTTATTGTTGAACAATAATAAAGACAAATAAAGGTAGAATTCAGTTTCATTACGGAAACAAAGAAGTTAAACAGTATTTCGAGACTTTATATTTAAAGTTTTCGTGTTTTGTTTCAAGTCGCTTACTCCATGTTCTCTTTTATTTATTGGCATATTCACAAATTCAAAATAAATTCATCAGATATCTGATTGTCATTTAAAACGTTCTGTTCATCAGTCGTTGCTTGCCATTGATTCAATACCACTGCTTTTCATTTCATAATTTCACAATTTATTGGCACATTCGTTATACTCCCCAGAAGAAGAGTACTTGTCGTACTTTCAGTAGAAGCAACCCAGGCCAGTCCCAGGGTTCCACCGGAAAAATCGCGGGCTGTGAATGTGAAGACAAGGCAGAATTGATCATGATTTTCCCTTGACGTCATATCGAGGAAATTACTGACGTCAATATCCGGGTTACAGAACCCATTAGTCATGGAATTGTTGCAGTGCTCAGACTGGTCAGTCATCACCTATTTTAAAATAAATAACAATGTAGTCTAGATCACCATGTCATGTAACTTCTTAGCCCCTGGATAGCATAATAAGTGATTCAATCTGCTTACTTATGTCAACTCTTTGAAAAAAATAAGCAGTCTTTAAACGCTTTTTGCCACGTTTTACAGTGTGTCAGACTACAAAGATATTTGTTTTTCTATGAACAAACATGACCGAAGGATCACGTTTTTCTGTTCACACAAGTGACCGCGGAATCACGTTTGTCGAGGTACACAAGTGACCGCGGAATCACCTTTGTCGTGGTACACAAGTGACCGCGGAATCATGTTTATCTAGTTACACAAGTGACCGCGTACTCACGTTTGTCGAGGTACACAAGTGACCGCGTACTCACCTTTTCTCGAGGTACACAAGTGACCGCGGAATCACGTTTGTCGAGGTACACAAGTGACCGCGGAATCACCTTTGTCGTGGTACACAAGTGACCGCGGAATCATGTTTATCTAGTTACACAAGTGACCGCGTACTCACGTTTGTCGAGGTACACAAGTGACCGCGTACTCACCTTTTCTCGAGGTACACAAGTGACCGCGGAATCACGTTTGTCGAGGTACACAAGTGACCCCGGAATCATGTTTATCTAGTTACACAAGTGACCGCGTACTCACGTTTGTCGAGGTACACAAGTGAACGCGTACTCACCTTTTCTCGAGGTACACAAGTGACCGCGGAATCACGTTTGTCGAGGTACACAAGTGACCGCGGAATCACGTTTGTCGAGGAACACAAGTGACCGAGGAACACAAGTGACCGTGGAATCACGTTTGTCGAGGTACACAAGCGACCGCGGAATCACGTTTGTCTAGGTACACAAGTGACTGCGGAATCACGTTTGTCTAGGTACACAAGTGAATGCGGAATCACGTTTGTCGAGGTACACAAGTGACCTTGGAATCACATTTGTTAGGTACACAGATTATCATTATTATAACATTCTAAACGGCCCGACAACAAAAAAGTCATAATAGTCATCAACTGATGAACGACACAACGACCCCGAAAGAAAATAACTAAAAGGTACAAGACTCATACTAAAAATCTCATAGCTATACTTTACATAAGATCAGCATGCTGAATCATATCCTATAATACAGACCACCATCTTTCAAAATTTTATTAATCTGAAGTTTCCAAAGGGGTCTTTAGACTTGAAACATTACAATAAAAAAAACTCTCGGATATAGAGAAGGTCATTGCAGTCCATTTTTTAAACTGTCAATAGTTCATCATATGCTATGCACCGAAGATTATATTTGCCTTTCAGCATATATGAATGTTTAAGGTACGTAAGGCCAATCCAAAGACGGACAAAGACATCTTCGTCTCGATGGTTGTCTCTATAGCATGGAAACAATTGGCCGATGATAGGTTTTTTCGGCATTTGCTATCTGTATATTGATTCCATTCCTTCTGCTACTGAGCTGTCTGACAAACGGGTTTAAATCAATAAAATGAACGCTGTTCTTGCAGCACGCTCTACTTTTACACAGCTGACCACTGGATCAAGTTTGTCTAAGTACGCAGATGGCCGACGGATCATGTTTTGTAGGAACACAGATGACCGCGGGAATACATGTCCTGGTACACATTGACCGACGGATCACGTTTGTCAATGTCAACAAATGATCGGCGGATCATGTTTGTCTAGGTTCATGGATCAACACTGAATAGCGTTTGTTGAGGCACACGGATGACCAGGATATCAAGTTTGTCCAGATAAATTATAGGAATATAATATCAGATTTCTAAACAGGAAAACTGTCAAAAGTACGAACTATCTCATTTTAATGATTTTAGTCAGTGAAATCAAGGAAGGTAATGCTATGACGACAACGAATAACCCTGCTGAAACAAAACACGACACGTCGAAGTTTATCAATGTATGTCTCTCCCAGTATATATTGTAATGTATTGAAATAATTGAAATTTTGTTAAGTTTTGTGATTTCCTTGTTTTCAACAATCGTGGTCTTTGGCATCAACGACAATGCTTAATTTTAAAAACGTATACAAGAAAAAATGCTATTCATTTGTGAGTCTGTACAACGCTGGATACTTACCGTTGTCCTCTGAACTCGAAACTGGACTCCGGTGTAGTAGTAGTTGGTTGGATTCCCTGGGTATAATGTAAAATTGGTATCCGTGTAGATGGAATTAATAGCAGACACGTGACTAGCGAACATCGCCAGTATTTCATTCTTGGCTGCATTATCATCCTTCAAAAACATATAAAAGAAATTTGCCAAAAGTCAATACAAAATAATCAAGCCATTTGGGTCGCACAGGCAATATGACAATCTTTGTGTACATATATATCATTTGTCGCGATTTTTTAAAAACATTTCTAATCACCAGAAAGGTGCAGTTTCGAAATTGCCTAAGTAGTAAATACAACAGCATGTATGTGTTATTGGTAGCCCCTGTAGTGATTTTAGAAAGTTAGGTCCAAACAGGTACATACGCAAGAATATGTCACGTTTTTGTGCCAAAAATGAAAAAAAAAATGTCCAAACATAGTAATTAAGAGTCTTGTGCAAAGTAATTAAAATTGATTGACAATATTGCTTTGTGCTTGTTAAGGAAAAAAGGGAAAATCTGTTTTAGATTGGATTGGATTTACACATAGTTTTATTAGTACAAAGGGACTACTGTCACCTACACTAATAACCCAATAAAGTGATATTTCAACTTTCAAAATGACCATCACGTTCATGTCAAAACTGGCTGAATCAATATTCTAACAAGAGAACTAAGTCATTTAGTTTCGTTGGTTTACATATTAAACCACCTAATCTGGATTCCGGAATTCGTCCTAAAATCTGATTTACCATGTCAGTGTTTGGCATCGTCGTACAGAAATGTAGTTCTAATTATCCAAGTCGACAATACTTAATGCTTTGAAGATGACTGTTGGTAGTGAAATCTACTTCACTTGATGTTCGTCTTAATACTTTTGACTTTTGGATGCAAAGACGTTCTATTTTCCAAATGCATGCAGTACCCTGCATAGTAATAATGCTTCTTTATGGGATAAATGACATCGGCGTTGTCATGCTGAATCCATTGTACTGTTATGCCTGGAGTGGATCTGACATAGTACAATGTCTCGTGAGTGTCGATAGAGCCAGGTATCGAAGTCGTCATCATCGCTGAGGTGCTGACTTGTGTAGAGGGCTGCCAATATCATTTGGTATGTTCCACCGGATGTTGTCGAGATGTATTCAATCACTAACTTAGGGCAGTCACAATTATCCGTAGTAGCATCCTGTTTGACAAATAGTGACTTGGCGCTTCCTGTACGATCTGGCTCATTTTTCATACGCTGAGCTAAGCTGTTGTAAACACTAGGGAGCGCATTCATTTTATGTTGGTAGTCATCGCTCCATCATTTGCGTCTCGTTCTAACATAAATGTGATTCTATTGTAACAGGTTGTTAATATTCTAACAAGTGCCTCAATGACAACAATGAAATAATAATAATAATCACCCTGTGCACCGACGATTAGCCTCGCCATGAAACATGTATGATTTCGTAAGGTATGTATGGTCCATCCAAAGACGGACAAGGACAACATCGTCGCTGTGGTTGGAGACCATTCAGTGATGATAGGTTTTACGGAGTGCAATTTCTTATTGGTATATTGATATCATTCCTCAATTGTTTGATAAATGATTTTAAATCAGTAAAATAAAGTTTAAAAACAACAGGTGGTAGCGATAAAGCTTCCTTTGCGGCACGATCTGCTTTTTCTTCGTCTGCTATTCCTATGTCCCCAGGAATCAACCAAAAAGCAATACGAAAGTTAAAGGCAAGTTCATTATAAAGTATTATGTACTACGAATGAAAATATTTCTTTTGCTAAGACAATGTAGTACAGAAAGAGAGTCTGAATATATAATAGCTCTCATTATTTTGTTTCTTTGCATATATTCAAGAGCGAGGTAGATAGTTCGCGCTTCCGCCGAGAATATTAAGGTGTTGTTCGGTAGCCAGCATCCATACACTTCATCTTGTGTAACCACGCAACTGCAATTTCGAGAAGGATGAACGAAAGGTGCAACTGCCAGTGTCTGATATAACCATTTCATGAAGTGAAAAGTTAACTTAAAAGTGAATTCAAGAGCCAGGGTGGAATTTTTTCGTTCCAAATGACTGAATTTGGTCAATATCAATAAGAGCGGAAATCCGAATACCGAATGGTGGAACGGTTTTTGGTTTGTTTTGAAACAAGGTTTAATATTTTGGATCAAATATAAGTGAAAAAGTAGGATTTGAGGGATTTGATTTTAGCTGAATGGTGTATTGCAAAGCATAATTATTTCGACGGCTATATAGTAATGTTCGTAAGCCTCTACATAGAGACCTACTGTAGGCGTATTCTTAAAAGCTCCGAGAGCGAGCCGCAGACCCTGATGATGAACAGTGTCTTATTATTTAAGAAACAACTTTTCTATTAGCTCCCCAACCACCTTTAGAATTATCAGTACCTTGAGGCATTTGGCTTTATGGTATTTTTTACTTGGCAGAAACGACAAGTTCCTGCCGAATATTACACCGAAGAATTTGTTTGGTAAACGAAAGGGGTTGGTACGACACAAAGAGATAGATTTGGATTGTCTTGTTGTTTCCGTAATTGGCACAATCAGCCCCCAAAAAACTGGTTTTGCTTGTGAAAATTTACATTTTTTCAATTTTCATATGCCTAAATTAGGAGTCGATTTAAACATTGTTGTAGTTGTCTTTAATAATATTCAAATGCTTAGATTAATAGTATGTAATGAAGTCATTGACATCGAGCACCCTCCATTGAAGAGGATAATGTTTTGACAAAAACATCGGAAATCGAACAAAATCAATAGAAGATTTGAAACAAAAATTGGTAGATTACCTCTAATACATACATCGTGCAGATCTATCATTATGCCGTATTTCCACGTGGTGCCTTTAGCCTTTTCAAATCGAAGAAAACCGCAACCAAGTGCTCCTTCTTTAGAAAAGCCTCGCGCACAAAGGTTTTAAGTCTAACCAAATGATCATTGGTACCTCGCGTGGAAGTAAAACCGCATTGTAGGGATGATGATATTATGCGGTCGGATTCCAATGTAAATATCAGCGTAAAATAGAAGATGAACAATCAGAAAGAATGTTTAGGAACTGTTTTCCGGTCAAACCAGTCCAGACTGTACAATCTGTATCATCAGAGAGGAGAAACGCAGAGTAAAAGAAGACTCCTACTTTTATAGCCTATGTGATGTCTCCAAAAGATTATTTTCTTTGACCTGGAAGGTAGATGCGAAGTCAACATTTTTCTTTCGTCAGTGCGGATTTTACCATTTGGGTTAAGATCATTTCCTACGAGATGACGCGGACCAATATAGGATTCCAAGGACACCACAGCTTCTGATGAAAGTGATCTGCAGTATGGTTGAATTTCGATTTAAACACTTTTTACATTTTGCGTGGGAAGACTGGATATAAAATCGATCTTCTATGGATGATAGTCAAATATTTCGCCATGTTGGATCATCAACATCAACGTTTTGACATTCAGGTTTGATGTTCTTTTCCGATAATTCTTAAAACACTTGGCACACATACCGATCTCTTGATCATCAATAAAGAAATTGCCGTCTGCTTTAAAAACATGGTACAATTGATTGCGCTCGGGAAGTATTATATTTCAAGCAGATCTCTTGGTTTTAATGTCTCCCCTAAAGGCAAATTTACAACCGGTACATACACAACGACCTCTCGTTGTGACAACGGTTCTGCATTAGATATTGGAAGTTTCCGTCTTAGTAGAAAATGTAGAAAGTAATGTCAAAAGAACAATTGATGATATTGGGATATACCCAAGAGACAAAGAAACGCAGGGTAAATTTTGAAGCAAGACGTCGAGTATAAGTAACAATGAAGATTTAATCATACAGAACAAACTGCAAAATCAACTATTTGTATCTGGTTAGTGATTTAGGAGTAATTGAAGGGAATTTAAACAAACACTGTAATCTCAAATCAAAATCGACTGACTCAGGGAGCTGGCTAGTCAATACCGGATATGTGCCTCATTCGCACTCTCCACAGCCCTAGGCACGGAGTTTATGAGAGAATTTATACTCCTCATTTGAATGTTGGCCTATTCGTCCAAGAGTAACAGGGGGAGGTTGGCATCGTCGAACCTGTCTATCCAGCTGATCCTACAACTGCTCAATAGGGAATAGGTCGGGGCTGTATGGCGGCCAGTCCAGTGGGTAGATATTATTGTAAATGAGAAAGTCGCGACGGATTTTCGCTGCATTGCGCCTGCTGGAATGTGAGGATGTTTCGCTACAATGTCGGGACAATTTGGGGTCGGAGGATCTCATCGATATACCTAGCGGCAGTTAAAGTACCCATTACCACAACCAGTGGTTTTTTCACTCCATGTGAGCCTCCCAACACCATAACCGGTCCATTCCCTAACCTATCCGTCTCTAATATGCAGCAGTCGGCAAAACCACGTCGAACGTCTACTCGAAACAGGATGAACCGGGACTCGCCTCCACTGCCTCAGTAGGAATATTCTGAGGGAATGTGCTGCCAAGCAAGTCATACGGCGCTCTGGCGACGAGTGACGATAAGGGGAAGACATACAAACGGATGACGTGCCCGCAGACCAACTTCCCGCAATTGTTTCCTTACAGTTTTTGCATTGATAGGAGGGTAATGAGTACCTATGGTATGAAGGGCTGATTCAGCGGAAGTGAGGTGTCGATTGTGCAAATGCGCAAGACGAATAAACCTGCCCTACCATTGTGACGTCACATTCTGACGCCTAGACCTAGTTCTGTCAGCAACCGACCCAGTTTTCCTTAGACGTCTAACAAGACGATCTACAGTGCAAATATGGACACCAAAATGTTTAACAAACTGTATTTACCTTTGACATTGCATAATAATCGCTATGGCCTGCACCCTCTTAAATTCCTTTAGCCGTGCCGTTGTTTATTGCTATCGGAAATCAATCAAAATATCGGAAAATGATGCGTCTCTATCAAGATTAACTTATGATTTAACGAGCAGTGTAACTCAATGTCAAAACACTGCTGTGCACGAGGTTTTCCCGTTTCTTCCTTTACCCGGAATATATCGTCAGACAATACAATAGTACAACATTCGATACAGAACCACGTGCACTGTAACCTAGAGAGTTGTTTTTGAATGTCACTGTGTTTCTTTATCCCTTGAGAATATAATATATTGTTGGAAGATTTGTATAGTAACTATTGGTCATATACTATTATGTATTTAAGGTCTTAAATCATTCAAGAAGATGTCGGCATTACTTGTATTCGTGTTAGAGATTGTTATTAGGAAAGGCACATGTGTTCATGAAGATATGGAGTGGAACAGGGTGGTCTACTATGTCCACTATCGTTCAAGAAGTCATTGAGGTAATACACAACAGAGCCAAATACTTTGCATAAATAGCGTTCGATCTTTAGGCAGAATGAGGGTAAGAGAGGTGTAGCTATCATATGTTAAATAATTTCAAGTTGTCTGAATATGGAAGACATTTTAGATGGCATTTGCTCACAAAAAATACTTTTTTTCTCACAAAATCAGTGATACTGGCGGTAAACTTACGGTTTAGAATTTAGTTACTGGTTCAAACTTTCCTATTTCGGTAAAATAATTATTTTTGATCTGTTTTGTGACAATCGGCGTTCTTAGTTTAGTGAATTAGTTACGTTATTAGTTAAGAAGACAAGTACGTCATCGTTTTTTTTTTTTTTTTTTATTAAATGTCAGGGAACCAACTTTGATGGCACAAAGAAAATCCATCAGTTAAAGGTCTCGAAGGGTAAAAAATCTTTAGGCCAACATCTATGGGAAATTAACATTGCTGAAAACGCCAACTTTAGAATCCTGAACATCAATTATTGCATGTATGCCTGTTATAAATTTATATACATTTCATGTATTTATTCCATTTTGATTAATGTTTAGGCCATTTAACTTACCACGCCCTGCCTTTTGATATATCTCCACAACACTGGATCGGATCTCAGGTACATGTAACAGGTGTTCCGTGCCCCGAGACGATCTACGGACTTTGCAGCATTTCGTCTAACACGGCCACCTGTCCGTCGCCCATTACTTGGTAATGTTTTGTGTGGCATTTCCTCTAAGTTACCGCTCGTGTCGGCTCTAGCACGGTCTGTGGTCGTCAGGTGATCACCATTGTCGTTATTAACAGATTTACTGTATTTACCCGCCTAAAACAGTACCATGCAGTAATATATTTACATCACTGACGATGTCAAGAAGGACGAAACTGCTGTAAAATATAGTTTAATTCATTATTTGTCTCTATTATATCTGATTCTGACTTTGTATTGAAAAGTGCTGTTTACTTGTGTGGTATTTGAACAATCTGCATAGTTCCAAAAATGTTCCTGTTGTTAGAGAGATAGTGAGAAATGTACACAAAGGTGGACAATATGTTCATTAACATACAGACAAAACAAGTAAAATGTTTAAAGGTGAGACTACTAATCGTCAATTATTTCTATAATTTAAAAAGAAATACAAATGAAGCATTTATCTCAGGTCAACAGTTTCAACCTTAAAACAATTCAATGTTTTTACTTTTCGAGGCCAGTAGTATCCATATCAAAACCTACTGACGGGAAAAAAATTCAAACATTTGCTTCATATGTTTGTCTTGTTTTCCAATCCAGTTTTAAGCTGATCTGTATGCTTGAACATTTCCATCTATTTCTTTTGATTATTTATACTAATCAATTTCTCAAAAGGATCTAATTTCCTATGATGCAGTGTATTTGTGAATCATTTCTATTCCCCGTAAAGATTAACTCTTATTTTAGTATTTTTACAGCATCGATAAAGTCAATGGTCACACTTTGTCACTTTTGAACAAAAAAAAAATGCTTTTGTACAAAATATAATGTTTTCAGTTTTAGTTCTACGGTTTGATTTCGTATCTACTACATACTTCTATACCTCAGTACATTGAAGTGGTCATCAGTCAAACCAGTGGATCAAAGATCACACTTAAGAATAAAAAGCTTATGTGTAAAATATCCTATGACTCGACAGATTTCTTTGAAAGTCAAAGATCATTGAGTGGAAAGTATCTATGTCTTTTTATACTTTATATGCTGAAATATTTACGACACGCAGTTTGCAAATGGCAAATTAAACTGAAAGTATGATAAAATACCCGAGGAATAATTTGAAACAAATTGAAAAAGAAATCTTTAAAAGAATGAAAAAAAAGAAGACCGAAGACATAGTTATAGAAGAATATCATCTACATAATCTTCTTTTAAACATACATAGTCTACATCAGCCCTACAACTTTCGTAACCAATACAGCTGTTCAATGAATCGACCGAAAAAATCAGCAATAATAATGTAGCATAAGATATCTTTAAAATCGCACATCTAAGGTCTGTTTGTAAGGGCCGTTGCTAGGCATCAACAAATGCAGTCGCTTTATATGGTAATTTCCCAAACTCGGAAATACTGGAATATTATATTTTGAAAATGGAACCTGAATAATAATATGGTACATATAATAAATGTTGACGTTACAAGCAGCCAAACCCTGTATGCGATTACGATAAGGATTTTATATATTTGATATAGGTATCTGTCAATTTTCCATAAATTGTAACAAGATACAAATCTACCTTTTGATAGTTACTTCCAGTTCGAGGAGATGATTTCTTCTCCATCCATTGTCGGAGTCTGTCAACGCCACATGTTCCTTCCCCAGCGGCTCTACGATGCCTGTCGAAGTGAAAAGAACCGAAAAACTGCCAGTACAAAAAAGCCTTGCTTGCGTAATGTATTTATGAATATGTATTATGTATCGTTGTATACATTTTATGTTTTTAGAGATAAATAGTAAGTTATTATGCACAGGATATTTATGAATATATGTTATGTATTTATGAATACGTATGATGTATCGATGGGCACAAATTAAGTGTTTGTGAATAAATGTGTATCTGTGAATATGTATTGAGTGATTTTACATATGAATTCAAAATTTATCTTCAGATATATGTGGTCATATAATGATGACATAATATGAAACTCACCACAAAACAAAAAAAACAATGTAGTGTACCCATTCCGGTTGTTGAGTAAAAGAAATTATTAGGTGTAATATTCGTCAGGAAATTGTCGTTCCTTCCACATATAAAATACCTTAAAGCCAAATGCCTTAAGGCACTGAATATTCTAAAGGAGAGGTCCCACATTGATTGGGGAGCTGATTGAAAAACATTTTGGACAGAGCTCTTGTTAGATCCAAAATAGACTACGATTCAATTGTCTTTAACTTTTGTATTGCTTTTTGCTGGGTACCTGGGCACATGTTCCACAAAGGAAGCTTTATCGCTACCAACTGTTGTTTTTCAGCTTCACTTTACTGATTTTAAACCATAAATCAAACAATTATAATAGCTCAGTGGTAGAAGGAATGGAATCAATATACCAATAATGAATTGCACTCCGTAAAACCAATCATCAAACAAATGGTCTCCATGCTATAGAGACAATCACCGAGACGAAGTTGTCCTTGCCCATCTTCGGATTGGCCTTATATGCCTTACGCATTCATATATGTTGATAGGCGAGGATAATCCTCGATAAAAATTTTTGTTGGATTGCATTGACCTTTTGTCTTCTCAAGACATCTTTATCGTAACGTAAGAAGTCTAAAGAAAGACCCGTTTGAGATTAATAACATTTTAGGTTATCTGAAAGATGTTGGTCTTTATTATAAACTATATGACTAACCATTTTAAACTTTTGCGATAATATAACCATTAGCATTTGTCTTTTACCTTTTAGTTTGTTTGATGTTTGATTTCCTTTTTTGGATCGCTGTCTTATTCACCAGCTGATGTCCCTAATGAACTTACATGTGATGACGGGCCGTTAAGATAGTAATAATAATAATTTCCATTGCAGTAAACAATGAGATATACAAACTATGGACTTTTGTAACCCTTAAGACTATATTAACAGTGTTCAACAATTCAATTTCATGAAAACAATTCTGAACTATTTTTGGGATTGCTTTAATAAAACGGTAACCATTTGAATAAAAAAAAACTTAAATGTGATTTTTTGAACAATTACTTTTTCAATATTAAAACAAACTGACTAAATATTGTCTCCTTAAGATATCGTTATATAAGTCATCATTCCAGTGGGAACTTAAACGATGATTTAATGCTATTGACTTATTTCTCTTTAGCAAATATATCAACGTTCATTATTTCGTTCAAAGCCTCCTCTAGGATTCTAACCTGTGACCCGCTTAACCGATCGAGCTAAAGATATGTTGTCTCTACCCAAGCGGTATATTGTTGCAAGTCTTTACCAGGGTTAGACAAATGCATTTATATTCTCAAAGTTATTAACGAATGAAATCTAGTGTTAATGTCAGCCGGAAAACTAAGCAGGTACAATGCATTAATATTGATGAAATAATAATACTGCAGATCAAAACAAAAATAAAACCTGGACAAAAGCTAGAACATCTCTACAAGATATGCATTCCTTCAGTTCTTTTGCGAACCAAATTCTGCCGAGGTGTGATAATAATATCGGATGTATCAGAAGGAAGTCTTTCTTAAAAATATAACATAGGATTCGGAACATGCTCGCCTCCAACTAGTACATGGTGACAGAATGATAATTGGTACTGACCGGTATGGGTCGAGATTAACATGGTCACTCCTATAGATGACAGAGTGGTATGGTGTTTGATGTCCAACCGGAAAAAATCTCCGAACATGTTCAATGTGGTAAATAGTGTTGTCATCGGTTATCACAAATCCGCGGAACACTCCCTCTAGTACACTGCCATGTACATGGGACGTTGGTTCTCCTGATAACAAAATATATAACGTTACTTATAAACATACACGAACAATATGTATTGATTTTTCAAGGACACAGACACATTTGAGATTGTACTCATGACACAACTGAATAACACCTTTCAACACAAATTTAATAGCATTAAAGTAGAGCCAAAATGAGTGAAACTGTACGATACAACTGTTTCGACCCTTGCAGTAACGTCGATGCTGATAAAGTCCTAAATTGTCAAGTTCTGGGAGACGACAGAGGAATACCCAAAATATATTTGAAACAAAGTTAAATTGTATACTTAGACCCCCACCCATCCCCTCCCCTCTAAAAAAATCCGCGTTTTGTTTCATTGCTAATGTAATCAGTATGTAGTTTTATACCTTTTACCACATCCATCTTCAGGTGACCTAGCTATAACAAATTTTGAGATATGACTGGAAAGATCAAATCTCTTAAGTCATTTCCCTTTGGATCTTCTTTTTACCATGTCCTATTTAGGGAACGATTAAAAAAACACCATTCGAAAGGCGGATATCTAGGATTTTGTCAGTAAAAAGGTTGTTATCTTTATTTCTGGAAAAGCACTAGATGGATCTTTCTTTAATCTTTGGATTTTTCTTTGTCTTTAGTTGTGCTGGTTTGATTTTAGGATCATCAAAACGAACAGTGGTCAAGCAGCCATCTTGAATTTTGGCTATGAAAGTTTATTATCATTTTCCACCGGGTGATCTTTCCGAAATACCATACGTAAGTTCCCATTTGTCGCTAATCGTGGCCTACTGATTTTTGGACTGGTCTGAAAAACCAAATGGCCCACTGACGTCAACCTTGGACAATACAGTTAATGGTGATTTCTTGTTTACATGTATCAGTGTAATATTAAGTGTAATTATCGATATAACTGACCTTTGACCTTTCCTTTATATATAAACGATATATCCGCCGGGTACGTCGATCCATTGTGATGCCGTAGTTTAAAGTCTGACGTAAATATGGAGTCATCTGGAACCAGCTCCAACTCAAAGTCTCTGGAATTGATGAGTCGGAGAGCAAGTTATTTTCATTTTATGCATATTCATCAGCTGTGTACCAGTAAAATGTAGATAAAGATACAACATAGGTTCTTTATTATCCGTATCTCAATACCGATTTTGAATTATATATAAGATATCTAAATTATTGCCTTATACAGGTGTTTGCTCCATCTTTGACTCGTCAGTGATGTTTGTATCGAAATATGAAAGCGAATAACATCTTATGATACAAATTTAGAACTAGACATATTGGAACCAGATAATGAAGTAATATGCACTTTATAGCTGTTTCGTCCTTCAAAGACTCGTCAGTGATGTTAAGGTTCGAAAGTGTTGATTACTGATACCTAGAACCTTATTTTTTTGTGTATGACGACGTGACAGGGCTGTATTTGTTGCAATATGTAATGGTAGTACTTGCCTCTTAAATCTATTGTTTTAGTTTTCCTGCTGATGAAATAACTGATTGTGAAGTGTTTTCCATCACTTATGTTTCATGTAGGCTTTATTGCCCTTATATCCAATATATCCTGCTTCAACACTGCAAAATCTTTCTCTGATATCAGAATTTTTTGACGCTAGTTACGATATGGAACGGTCATATGTACTAGCTGCCTAAGAGCGTTAAAACACCTTATTATTCCTCCTGTTACAATTTGGAGCAATGAAATGTGCAATTCGCTTTAAAATGATAGAATCTCTCTTGATCAAGTCACTATAAAGGACGCATATCTAGTATAGACTTCATGTAAAAGCAGTTTACATATATTAAGTATTACAGGTATATATCGATGATTTGATGGGTACTTGAATTAACCTAACGAAAACATTTGTTTCTGTGAAGATGTCACATAAACTTAAATATGCTGTACTATAAACTATGACTTACAATTTTAATCTTTTGAGATAATATAACCATTTAAAACTTTAAGCAATTGTCTTTTACCTTTTCGTTTGTTTGATGATTTTTAGGTCACCATGAGCCTTCCCTCATGATTTGTCTGTCGTTGTGCGTCGTTAACTTTTCACATATTCGACTTTTTATTTAAAGACCAACTGAATTGATTTTGACCAAACTTGGCACAAAGCAACTCCATGGGAAGCCGCTTCAGGTTTGCGAAGAAAACGGGCGTGGCCCCAATAGGGGCTGCAGGAAGGGGGAAAGGGGGTAAAATTAGGTAAATCTTTAAAATCTTCTTCTCATGAACCAACAGTCAGATTAATTCATATTTCATATTTAGGGTCCTTATGGCAAGGTCTACAAAGTTTGCAAATAAAAAAAAATCGGGTCAAAAACTGCCCTACTAGGGGGCGCTAAAAAGGGTCGAAAATTCAACTTTGACCGATTTTAAGCAAATTTGGTAGAAAACATCTCTTAGTGAAGGGCATATGAAATTAAGTTGAAAAAAGTGATAATGTCCCCTTTGGGCCCCATAAAGGGTGTAAAAGGAGCAATATGTAAAATCCTTCTTTAAATGACTTTTCAAGAACTAGGGGATTGATTTTGACCAAACTTGGCACAAATCATCCCCATGGGAAGCCGCTTCAAGTTTGCGAAGAAAAAGGGTGTAGCCCTAGGAGGGGGGAAAGGGGATAGAATTAGGTAAATCTTTAAAAATCTTCTTCGCATGAACCAACAGCCAAGATGGCCACATTGGCCTCTGTTTGGCTAAGACATTTTGAACTTCCTCTGAAGAACCACTGGCTGGATCATGTTCAAACTTGGTACAGATGTTTTACACACGGTCCTGCACAAGTGTTGTTACATTTTTACAACATTATAAAATTTCCAGATTATTGACATATATTCCTCTGGTGACATTGGGCCTCTTGTTTCCTTTTTAGATCGCTGTGTATTTTACCGTTTGATGGCCCTAATGACCTTTTATGTGTTGACGTGGCATTGAGAATGTCATTATCATAATCATTTTACCTTATTTTTCCCGTGTGTCCAGAATATAACATGTTCCGGAATATTATTTGTTTCTAATATTGCAATATATACTTCCGGTATCAATGGCCACTTTCAAGACATTTATGTTTTTTATGCTTCTTTCTTCTCTCAGTTTCTGTTCTGTTCCGTCCACTACTGATGATAACGGGCAAACTTTAGACTATTTGTGGTTACACTTCCCGATTACTAAACTAAGTTGGCTTTGGACATTTTTAATGTTAAATTTCATAGCTGAAGGTAGAAAACCCTCTCCTCTGAAAACCCCTCTAAAGTAAATATAACCCACAAGACCATCGGTAGAAAATCTGTTTTCTACAAAGACTGTATCGCTAAAAGGGTTAGAATGGTAAATTATATATTTAAAGATGCCAGTTAATTTCCTTTTTATTCCTACCAAAGATGAAATGAGAAATATGGTTTAGACACTAATTTTCTTTGATTTCAAGGGTTTTTTTTAAATACAATTCAGAAAAGTATTGACTTAAAGAAAAATTATGGATTTTACTTTCACCTTTCTTTACCTCTAGCATATAGCATAGAACCTTTCTTCTGAAGATCAAAAGAAAGAACTGGTAGGAAAAAGTAGGCAGAACAGTTTGATTTTGAAGATGCTACATGGACTAACATTTTCTCTTTACCTTTTAAAAACAAATAATTCTAAACTTCATTGATTTTAGTGCTGAATTCTACATAATATTTTGACTACAAATTGAATTCTAAATAAAACGGGCATGGCTTGCAGTCCACGTTGTACTTTCTGTACATCTGAGACAGAAACCATCACTCACATCTTCTTGGAATGTGAAAAGATTAAGAATATACAAAGTTTAGAATTATTTTAGACGCACTGATCATCCCATTTTCAGTCAACATGGAGTGCTTTTCATTGGTTTCTTGTCTGTTAAAAATGTGTATAGTAATATCAATAATGAAATTTACATAATTTATTAAACAGTATGTTTATGATTCTAGAAAGCTAGATGTTTGGACGATACTCTAAACATAACTGCACTTGAAAACTTTTTTTAAAAAACCATACAGCTAAGGGAAACCCTTCTCCTGAGCGCTTCATTGAAGAATGGAGGAAATGGGGAAAATACTAATAATTTTAACACAATTATCTACACTAATTTAGTTTGTTTTGATTGATTATATCTGTCTATTGTTTGGAGTGAGGTTGGAGATGGTAAACAGTTCATGGATTGTTGTTCATGATTGTGCTGATAATGTATGATGATAACTAAATAATTGATGTCGATTATGTTTGTATAACATTGGTGATGATGATGGATGACAGGTAATGAAGGATAACAAATGGATGATGATGATGATTGGGTCTGTTAGTGAATCTTAATGATGTTCTGTTATGTTTTATTCCATGTATTTATGAAAAGTACAATAAATACTAAAAAATTCTTGAGTCACTTGTAACCCAAGGATGAAAATATCTTACCTGTTGTAAGCCTTAAATTTAAACTTTAAGTGTTGTTGGGTATTTGATCTTCTGAAACGTAGATGTCGATGGTGCAGCGTATCTGTGTCGTAATGAAGTTCGTCGTACTGTGTTATATAATCGTCTAGACTCTTGCATTTCGATGCTTAAATAAAACATGTTACATGTGATAACAAATGACAAACAATGCAGTGTAATGGATAAAGATAAGATTACTAAGTGAGTACGGGTATTTACTCGCTACATAAACTACGTTAATTTAATTACATAACTAAACATTATTCAGTTTTTAGAAGTTTTAAAAGTATTTTACTGTAGATATTTGTCACCTTTTGGGTGATTTGGGGGTTGAATTTTTATTCTTTTCGTTATAGCATTTCCAATGGTGACCATCATTGGCTGTCATGTTTGTGAGGGAGGACACTTATCAATGTAACAATACTATGAATAATACTCGAAGTGGATATTCAGTGGCTGGCAATGAATTTGATAATTGGACCTATACATTAAATTGAATATGCGGGGTAAAACATTGGGCTGTAAGATCTGTCCAGTACCTCAACACTTTAGCAACCCGAAGACAATGTTTGTGAGTAAACAGCTATACTTTATGTCATTCCTATAAGAAGGAGGGGGTGGTAAGAAAATCAACGCCTCCTGTTTACATTTCTCTAAACTGCATACTCGAGATTTTGTATCGTAACGTCACAAGTCTAAATACCCCTTTTGAACTGTTGAGATTTATGAAATTTTAGGTTATCTGAAAGATGTCTATATGCCAAACTATAATTTAGCATTTTAATTTTTTGTGATGTAGCAATTTAAGATTTTAAGCATTTGTCTTTTACCTTTAAGTTCGTTTGAGGTTATTTCCCTTTGGATCGCCGTGTCTTCGGGCGGATGATGGCCCTAATTACCTTTTACGTGTTCATGGGCCGTTACGATTGTTATAATAATAATCTACAAATACATAACGCAGCGCAAAAAGGCTTACGGTTTCTTGCCCCTGGTTAAGTCATACTAGAGTGTAATAATGGTAGTTACTACTCTCTGCGTAGTACTAAGCACCATTGTGTTGTAACGGCTGTTTTGCCCGTTTTCAGAAAATGTGACCGGAAGTGTTGATTGTTTCACGTAGTATATTTCAGTGTGGTAGCACTATAAAATCGGAATCGCTTCCGCACTCTCTCGCAGTACCTGAAACGTTTACGCGAACATATCGGAGGTTCTCACAAACACACGCACTTGTCATATACACTGTGAAACCGTCTTTTAATGATCATAACACTTTCAATTTATCATCACATTTGCTATTGTGACCAAACATGGGGATTATTATGCAAAAGTTTTAGTACACATATTGTTTATATCTTAAAATTCCCTGCCGAATTGATGTAAGCCCTACACTGCAGGTCAAAGGCGATGGATATTCATATACTTTTCAAACAATAGCAAAGCTAACGATCTGCCTCGAGGGTAATAAAAGGATACATGTGAATCGAAAGATGGAATTGTATTGGACCATTTCAGAATATTCAATTATATAGTTTCAAAGATTTGTACATATATCAGTTACATAGACTTTGCGACAATGTACTGAACTATGTTTTATGTATTTTACCTGGTTCGTCGCATATTGAAGGCCGACAGTATAACGGAATATGATTTACCATTGTTGCCATATACTGAGTCTGTGTATTAAAGTTTTTCCCTTTTGTCTAATTTTTTTTTACATTTTTGTCCACCATTTCTTTGCTCTAATCACCTTCTCTGTGTTCAGTGACAGTTCGTAGTAGATATATTAATCAATATATATATATAATGTATAATTCGTTAATGTCCCTGTTTGAGCTAATTCGTGGGTACTGACTTTCGGACATATCTATGAACTCGTATCCATATTAACAGGCATAACTGAGATTTTCATTCACTGCTAATTGTTAGATAGATATTTAATCTTTATTGGCCGCGAATGTAGCAAAATTAAATGCTCTGCTAATATTACCAATTATACAGTATATGCATTATACATAGAAACCTATGTACACACATATATAATCCCTGTCTTCGGTACACCCGTTCAAATTCTCAACATTCGGGATTTATGATTTAAACAGGAAGTTCAAATACATTATTTACTTTTCACTATTGATTTACAGAAGTCTGACGTGGGATTGGCTCACTGCTTTTACGCGACAAGTATCTGTTGTCTGAAATCAATTCTACCACCATAGGAACATGAATTATCATTTGTTATAAGTGATAATCGTTCAATTCATAGCAGTAATGAATGAAGTAAAAAATGTCACAATTCTTTGTTTCATATTTGGCGAATGAAATGACATAATCATTTTATAAAATAACTTACACTTTTAACTTTAATTCAGGACTATATATTCCATATGTTAAACGTGATATTACAAAATAAATTATTCATATTCGGGACTGTATCAACATTGAAAAAATTCCCCGTCCTAAGTCAACAATATAACAAATATCTGTAATTAGATAGGAATTGATGTGCTGATGTCATAGTAAATCCACTTCTGGTCTTTATACATAGTAGTAAGTTGACAGATGATACAGATACTACAGTAAATATAACGAAAAACTATCGTGATTATCTTGGAGTAAATGTTGACAAAAATCATGTAATAGTATAGACAAAACACAACAGCGGAACATCAATTTATCACGAGAAAGCTAAGAATATAACGTGATACTTCCTTCGTTCATTTCGTGTATTTACACTGAATACAAGGTTACCAATGCACTGCACACTGGTCATTGAAAGTGACGGGGAAGTAATGGAAACGTTACATATGGTTTTTGGCATATTCTTTGTGCTATAAACACTTAAAGATCAAAGAAATAACACTTATATAGCAAAATCGTATCAAACATTTGATATAACTTTAGCACTTACGTTCAGTTTAAATGAGTATCGTATATTGATGAACACTACCCAAATGATAGCCAGCTGGTTTACAGACCCGTATGTAAACAGTAAGAAAACACAAGAGTATATGTAACTTACCTGTTAATAGCTGACTAAACCCAATTAACATAAGAACGAAGTAATCCGGAATGTCCATCATTTAACAGATATCGTATGATCACAAATCGTACTGTTATACTCCGGGATTTAATGTCATTGTTTATTTCTGGTTCCGGGTTAGACTTTTACCTGATAACGGCCGACCCTTCTGTCCCTTATCTCGTTTTCGTGTGACTGTAAGCCAGGTACGGAAGGGTAAAGATATCATAACGTTATATCAGTGACGTCACTACAGGTATGGAAACCTGTACGCTTTAATTTACAATTTTTCTGTTTCACCATTTCATGTCATTTCATCTGATTATTTATAAATAATGGCTAGTTTGTTTTCTATAATGTGGTTTGATCAAACATGCTGACTGACAATAAACGCTTCTACAGGAATATGTTGTATTTTCATAATGGAAATTTAACGTTTTACAGTGAAAGATATGTAAAATTTTCCGTCATATTTTATCCAACAAACCAAATATTTGCAGTAGATATCATTTTCTATTTATGGTATCCTTATAATATACTTCAACGCAGATAGAACTTGTGCAGATATTAATTGGCGGGAAATTTCGCGGTTTTCTGACGGAGTATGAACAAAAGAACATGAAAATATACAGAGCAAGGAAACGTTATTAATTAAACATCCCTTGTTCCTTGATTAAAAACAATAATTTTTCTCTCAAAGGACATAAGCATTCATGTATTTTATAATATAAATATATATAATTAGAATATCTAAGGTATATCGCATTGTCCCCGAAACAGAGGACGCTATGCCTTGCGACATACCTGATGTTATTGTCCTTGTGCGCCCACTGCGCTTCAATGACGAATTTAGTGGTACTAAAAAGCAGAGTGATTTTTTGGTCATTAAGGCAAACAACCAGTGAAACACACAATGATCCAAAAAGGAAAATACATCAAACAAACTAAAAGGTAAAAGACAAATGCTAAAAATATTAAATGGTTATATTATCACAAAAAGATTAAAATAGTAAGTCATAGTTTTTAATACAGACAAGCATCTTTTAGACAACCTAGATTTTTTTCAAATCTCAACAGTTTGAGAAAAGGGTCTTTAGACTTGAAATATTATGATAGAATGTTTCTCGAGTAGATAGAAGTCAATGCAGTCTAATACAAAATGAATGACTTGTTACATCCTATGTACAGAGGATTATTTTCGCCTTTCAACATATATGAATGATTTAGGTATGTATGGCCCATCCGAAGAAGGATTAATAGAATAGTTCACCCCCTTTGGGGTGAGACAGGGGGATCTCTACCCGAGGAGGGATCTTTAAGTTGTCAAACACGAGGCTTGCCGAGGGTTGAGATCCCCTGTCTCATCCCAAAGGAGGTGAATTATTATTTTTCTCTTACCCTGTTCCCTCGATGATTGTAAAATACAAAATAGAATGTTTGTAAACAAAACCTCGTAGACAACGTATGAATATAGTGACGAGGCCGTCTCAACCGCGTCACGCTTAATTGTGATATCCCGCACAAAATATAATTCCCATTAACGGTACAGTAAAACATAAGAAGGCATAATATTAATGATAAAAACAATTTTAATGTAAAGGTATGGATGAGATGACTTCAATATATACACAAAATCAACACATATTATTAAATCGTTATTTTACAATGACGTCATTTACATGTCAAGTTCCACGTCCGGGTCAAGATAGTGACGTAACATTATTGTTGAGAACGCGCAAGGAGTGCGTGTAGCTTGTCTCAACCCTAGGTTGAGATAGAAAAATCTCACATCGGTAAAAACTGAGGATATTCCTGTCCGGGGTAAGAGAAAACTTCGCCTGGGTAGTTGTCTCTTTAGGATGGAGAACAAATACCGATGATAGGTTTTACGGATGCAATTTATTGTTGGTATACATTGAAACCTCACCTATCGACCACCTTAACATTATCACCGACCCGTTGTTAAAGGCACTTTTTTCCGGCCCGATTTTTCATTTTGTATTGGTCGCTTCAGTATGACATCCACCCCGCTATTCCGTGTTACGACCACTTCTAACAGTTCCAACGACCACTATTTAACGTTAACTGACCTCACAATAACAACTAAGTTCTGACCAGTGATTAAATTTTACCAGGTGGGCAGTGAACCTCGAACATGTGAGTCTATCACGACCATTGTTTTCATCAGAGGTTACCGACCCTGTGACAATATGCCGTTACACGAAGCAAACATTACCGCATTAACTTGGCCTGTTAGTGTGAAACTGCATGCCAGACACGCTTATACAGATTAAACGAGAAACTGCTGAGACAGAGGCTCAATTACGCGCTGATTTCCGTGGACCAAAGCTAGCACCGTTTGATGAAACTACTGATATAACTGGCTGGTAATCTCATTGTATGACTGAAAAGACGCGCTTTTGATGTATTATCTCGCCTACCTATTGAGGAATCCATGAAATAAAACGTTTTGAAAACTGCTCTTCTCAAACGATTTGAGATGAAAGACGGCTTCAGAAAACGTTTTAGAACTGGAAGGCATGAGTCTGGGGAAACATGTTCGCAATTTGGTATTAGAGAGTTACTTCTTCAAGTGGCTGTAGATGCAATTTATTGTTGGTTAAACCTGTTATGGGTGACTGGTCTCCAGGCTATAGAGACGACCACCGAGACGAAGTTGTCCTTGCCTGTCTTCGGATTGGTCATACATACCTTACACATTCATATATACTCAACAAAAAAAGAAATGTTAACATGCTTCCTTGGCGAATACCTGTAAATGAGTGAAAGCAAATTGACGTTTGTGCAATATTAGAAAATGGTAATGTTTTACGTTACAAAATCCAAGGGGGTTACCAAAATCATTCAATCGTGAAAGTCTGTATTAGCGAAAGAGCTGCACGAGGTTTTCTGCGACTAACTTGTATCTTCGCTTGAATTTCATAAACATTCAAACTGACAACTTTCCTTAGATCCTTAGGACTTAGATATCACCGAATCTTGCTATCTATCAACTTTATCATTTTGCCTCGGCTGTCACAAGTACAGAGAGAAAGGGCTGTAGGCATGATCCAGGCTGGGGAGTCTCGCCGTCGAGTGGCACGGCATTTTAGTTGCAGTGTTAAGACAATTTGCCAGTTGGTAAGTCGTTTAAACCAAACTGGGTCAACATCCGATCGTCCGCGAAGCGGCCGACCCCGTAAAACGACCGCCAGGGATGACCGTCGTATACGATTGATACACTTGCGAAATCGATTCATAACCGTAGTAGAGACTACAAGGACATTGTTTGGGCGTCGTGTGTCTTCCCAAACAGTCTGCAACAGGTTGAGGGCCTACCAATTGAAAGCGCGGTGTCCCTACACTGGACCCAATTTGTTTCGACGTAACTGGACCCGTGTTCACCGTCGTTGGGCAGAGTGTGGAGGCGACAAGGGGAGCGTTTTGCGAACTGCTGCGTCGCAGAACGGGACCGCTTTGGTGGCGGAAGTGTAATGGTTTGGGGTTGTATTTGTGGGGGGACTCGTACCAGGCTTGTTGTGTTAAATGGCAATTTCACCGGCATTCGATATCAGGATGAAATTTTAAGACCAGTGGTTCTGCCATTCTTAAGACTCCATGGCGTTGGCGCCATTTTTCAACAGGATAACGCACCAGCGCACACCAGTCGCTTCAGCAGAACTTTCTTGCAGCCGAATAACGTACAGGTGTTAGATTGGCCATCTAAATCACCTGATTTGTCACCGATTGAGCAGGTCTGGGACGTTCTTGGGCGACGCGTGAGAGAACGTCAAAATTGGCCGTCAAACTTGAAGGAGCTGGCCCAAGCCTTGATCGCTGAATGGAACAACATCTCTCCTCGAATTATCTGCCTGTTTACGAGTTCCATGCGACGACGCTGCAATGCTGTTTACTTCGCAAACGGTGGTCATACCCGTTACTAATGGTGTTACCTTTGAAATTGAACCCAACGTCCTTTACAGTCGAATAAAATCAACTGAACGCAAATTTTTATAATGAACCATGACTGCAGTTTTATCAGAATTGATCAATTACTTTATTGGTAAGGATTTATGAAGGGGTTAATTAATCACAGAATAAAGTAGTGTTACCTTTCCTTTTTTGTTTAGTATATGTTGAAAGGCGAGGATAATCCTTGGTGCATAGGATGTGATGAGCCATTCACCGTTAAACAATTTTTATTGGACTGTATTGACCTTCTGTCTACTCGAGAATGTTTTTATCGTAACATTACATGCCTAAAATCCCTTTTTGAAACTGTTTAGATTTGTAAAATTCTATTTTACCTGAAAGATGTTGGTCTATATAATAGACTATGACGTACCATTTTAATCTTTTGTGTTAACATACCCATTTCAGATCTTTAATATTTGTCTTTTACCTTTTGGTTTGTTTAATGTTATTTCTTTTTGGATCGCTGTGTGTTTTACCGTTTGGTGGCCCTAATGACCTTTTATGTGTTGACGGGCCGTTAAGAATGTCATAATAATAATTACTATTATTATTATTGTTGAACTGGAAGTTAACTATTTGTAGATCAGAGTATTGTTAGAATACCTTAATAGTTGTTTGATATGTCATTTGTATTTTTATGTTGTATTTTCTTACGATTCCTGGATTAAGATAAAAACATCCATCTATGGATCGTTATCTATCCGCCTGGGCAAAGGGCAGAACACCTATCACTTTCTTTACTTATCATTCTTAACAGACACACTCTTATCAAGTACTATGTAAGTTGTTACTGTAAATACAGCACATAATTATTACTTTCAATTAACCTTGGGTGTTTTATATTCGTTATGAAGTAATAGGAGTCCTTACTGATACGTTCGATTCTCCCAGAGCGGACGTGAAAAATGTATAGGATGACCTGCTCGTCCACGTGGGTCTCCCGCAGTAGGCAGCTTATTTATTTACATGATAATAAGCTCATGGCTTTCTGGCGAATGTGCATGAATATTAATCATTGTAATATTTTAAAGCAAACGCGTGGGACGTTGATGACAGTACGCGACCATTGCATTGGGACCCTAT